GGATGTTTTTTGTTCACAATTATTCTATAAGGATGTACCCTAGGTTTGGATTGTACTTGAGGGATGAATTTAGCCTAAAACTCGATACTCGATTAATTACTGTCTTTTTACTTTTAGATTGACTTACGCATAAGTCATAACTCACACAGAAGATCATTATTAGTAAAGATTAAAGCTCTTGAAGCTTCTTCAGGTCATTATATTAATGATTGCGACTCAATAAATTGTCATATTAGTCAAACTACAAGTAGATCACTTTAATTTTGATTCAATTCTATTTTTTATCTGTCATATACAGTGCACATGTTATGTTGCATAATTAAACAATTTAAAACTTTATATAGAAATTCTTTCAATTAATGTACAGCCTCGAATTATGACATTCAATTTCAAGAAAAAAAGAAAAGATATGTGGGCCTTGTGACCCATTGCGCCATTCAAAAATGGGCTTTCATACTTTCTCCTACTATGTTTGGGCTGTAACAATCAAGGTTTACTGATTCAGTTGAAAATGGAAGAATAACCGAAGCGGTATTGGGAGAAGGTGAATGGATTCGCTGTCTTTACAATCTCATCTCAGTTTGTGGAGGTAATTTATAGTTCTTGTGTTCTCCAGATTCTTCATGTTGTAATTATCATAGAAGTTTAATTCTTGATTAGTATTTCATAAGGCATATTTAACTGGAAGTTCGTATGATTAAATTGGTGTTTTATGTGTTGTTGAAATGATGAAAGCTCAACCAGTACATACCCAGCTAGAAAACCAGGAATTGCAGTTCCTGAATTTGTAAAATTGCACAAGGGTCCTTCAAAATCCAGATATTTACCTCAGAGGTATCGTATGGCCACTTCAAGTAGGGAGGGGTTGAATGGGATAGAAGAAGGCGATGGAGTGATAATTGTGGATCATGGGTCCCGTAGAAAAGAGTCCAATCTCATGCTAAGTTAGTTTCTGGCATCCTTCATTTTATTTTTTTTCAATTTTGTTGCTGATTTGTCATGAGTTTTGCTTATAGTTGTAGTTTTGATGATAAATGTCAGATGAATTTGTAGCAATGTTTAGAGAGAGAACCAAATACCCCATTGTGGAGCCTGCACACATGGTAAGAATGTTTTATCCCCTTCTTTGAATGATTTTTGTTGTAGAGCTTGCTGTATGATTTGTCGTTTCATTCTTGATTCCTTATCTGTTTATCTTTGTTTTTGCACTCTGTTTGGGATTAGAATACTGTTGAGGAAAGAAAACTGCAGTGCATAAGGGTAAAAAATGAGAAGTCTTGCAGTATGTTTGGATGTTAAAGAGCAAAAGCAAAGGAAAGAAAACAAAAGCATACCTTTTCAGAAAAGAAGCAATAGAAATGATATCAAATTTGCGTATGAGAAATCATCTTAAAATATCTCATGAGAAAATCTGGCAAAATAAAACAAAGATTGATAGGATAAAGGGATCCCTTTAGGGTGGGTGGGAAGTGGCGATAGGACTAAGAATGTGCTTGGAGTAAGAAAATCCTAATGTTTGGATGTTAATATCTCTATTGTCCTTTCTTTTAATCCTCTCAAAAAGTTGGAACTTTCATTTTGCTCTGTATATCTTTTATGGCATTTAGGAGCTAGCTGAACCATCTATCAGAGACGCATTTAGTTTATGCGTTCAACAAGGAGCACGTCGAGTTATTGTGAGCCCCTTTTTCCTTTCTCCTGGACGACATTGGAACCAGGTATCTTTCGTTTTATGTAGTCTGAATTCTTAAGTTCTGCTAGCTGACGTAGAATTTGCCGATGATGTTAGTGCTAGGTTTTGACCTGATATCAGAGTTAAAGCCAAGGACCTTGGTGAAAAGGCTTTGATCTTTCCCTTTTCAGGATATTCCTTCTTTAACAGCTGAAGCTGCAAAGGAGCATCCAGGAGTATCATATCTCATTACAGCACCTCTTGGCCTTCATGAATTACTTGTTGTAAGACTCTTTTTTTTGCTTGCTTTACTTTCTCACTATTTATTCTTTTCATTTACATATGGAATCCAACAATATTGAAACCTTAGTTTATTCCTACTCCATAGTTTGCATTCAAACGCTTGCCCTTATAATTGCTCAAACTCCCCTCTTTCCTAAGACACTGGCCTTATAGCAGTCCTTGCCTAACTAGGGCTTTTGTTATTTTAATTGGTTTGCAGTTGCCTTTTCTTTCCTAGGCTATTGGCACTGGCACTTGTATTAGAATTCTTTTATACTGAATGCTTTGTTCAATCTGAGTTTCTTTTGTGACAATGGCCTTACAGCATCCCATTTTAATCCCAACACTCTTATTGCTCAAGTAACTAGCAAACTTTTGTTTCATGGAGTGACCGTGATGGTCAGAGGTTTTGGCATTGACATCCTTCCTTAATAAAGTTGTTTGGTTGAAATTTTAATCCTAGAAGGTTGATTTAAAAACAGCTAAATGTTTTCTCATTGAAATTCTTCTATGGAAAGTTTGTAGGTTAAAATTCTAATTCTTGAAGATTGTTATTACAGGATGTTGTGAATGATAGGATCAATCATTGCCTAAGTCATATTGCCGGGAAAGCAGACGAGTGTTCAGTTTGTGCTGGAACTGGAAAATGTCGGCTCCGCCAGTGACATACTAGTGAAGCTTAGCAAGACTTCGTTATGTAGAGAGACTTTGTTACCTATGCCAGTTGACTTATTCGAATCTGAATGCTGAGTTACTGCCAAGAGGCAGTAGGTTCAATTATCTCCCAAAACTCAAGTTACCACGAGGACATTGATATTTGGGAGTTGGTAATAGCATTTCAAATACAAATATCAACTGGAGGATGCTTAGTTACTCCCCACCGCCGATGGAGAGTTGCGAGTGCTGGACTGCAGTTCTGATTATCCTCGTCTGATGTTAATCATTTAACTATTGTACATCATCATTTGTGTCTTACTGAACTCATGGCTGCCCATCAGGTGCTGGTGGGTTACTCTCTATTCCTTAAAATATTTGGTTTGAGAGTTGCAGTCTAATAATTTGTGCTGCAGTGTCTTCCTTTACTCAATTACCATAAATCAACAAAGATTTATTTACATGGGTTGTAGCTGAAATTGTTGGGTATTGTATTTAGCTTTTCTCGTCAATAAGAAGACTGATCATTTTTCATGATGAAATTCTTAGAATCTTTGATTTATGATGTCCATGCTCGCTGCTATACCGTGGCGTCTGTGTTTGAATTTGGCACTATAAATAGTTATGTGCAAAAGTGGATGACGCAGAATTTAAAATTTTCATCTTTGGTCACTAATTAGAGCATGTGCTCTGCCTGGAGTTCGTCCTCCTGCCTTTTCATAAAATTGTGATTAATACTCCCTCCGTTCCATATTATAAGTCACCTTTTCCATTTGCACTTGCATTAAGAAATAAAGTAATTTTACCCTTATGCCCTTATTTAATGTTTGCTTATGACAACTTTGTAATAAATGATGAAATGTTAGATTTCAAAAATATAAATACATTTGAATGACTATTTAAATTTTACTTTTTGGAGCCAAATGTTTTCACCAATTGATCCAAAAAAATTTAAAAAACAAGTTTTTCCCACCTCAATTTTCCTATATATTTGTGTAAAATGTTTTTTTTTTTTTAAAAATATTTTTATATATAAATTCTTAAAGCAAACATGACAACATCACAAAATATTCAAATTCCATTACTTCAAATTGATCTAAATTTTCCTGCTGAATCTGATGTTATTGATAATGAAATTAGACGACAAATGAATTTTAGTTCTAATTCGACAAATCATTTGTTTTTTTATTTAAATGGTGCATAACTCCTTTATTTGGATCTTGATTTTTCTCAATTTGCCCTTCACATGTTTTGGTTGAGTCTTCTATTTTTACATCCTTTGAACTTTTTGAAATGTCATCTTCCTTGATAAAATTTGTTGAAGCTTCAACTTTCAAGATTATTTTTGAATTTTTTTTCATCTTTTATTTTTAATTTGTTTGTTGATATTTTTTTTCAAAATCAGATTTTATAGAATAAGTAGTGAATAAAGAAAGTAGTTAATTAATGAATGAAGTACTCTCCCAATTAAATTAATTACTTGTAGATTTCCTAGGTTAGTCAAAGTAAATACATTTTCAAGATTAATTAATTAATCCATCAAGGGTATAATGGGTAAAATATGATAATTTATGCATAAATTTTATAAAATGACATATATTGTGGTCCAACTATTTTTAGAAAGGGGTGACTTATAATATATAGGACGGAGGGAGTAACATAAGATTTAAATAAAAGAAGAAACGAATTATACAGTTGGACGAAGTGATTCTGATTCGGTAGTTAGTACTTGGCTGTAAATTGTGTGACCTTCAGTCCTTCACCACTCAAAGAAAAGGTAGGACTAATGGAAAATGGAGATCTTTCCTACTGAAAAGTTCTGTAAATCTCAAACGTTTTGGCAAATTTCAAAAGTTATATACTCGTATTTTATAAGCTACTGCTGAATTTGCTGTTTATAAATTATAAGGAGAATACAAAAAGAAAAGGAAAGATGTTCCGTTTTATACAGAAGATTATAAGGGGATGAAAAAGTGTATGTGAGCATTATCCCACATCGGCAGAAACAACGGAAGGCAAGGTGCTGGAGTGATATAAAAAGAAAGGAGGGAACAACATTGAAACATACTTACCTGGACGGGGTCAATGGGTGATCATGAAGGCCCATGGCCTAGGTTGGTGACCTTCATTGCACTTTGAAGGGGCGCCCGCCTAAGGTCGGCCCAAGTGGTCGAGCCTACGTCATAATTTGTTGCTGAGGGGGCCTGCGTTCGCGCGGCCCCTACCAATATAGTCCAAGTTTATCTGCTGGAAGTCTTCTGTATCATTGAGGGTAGGAACTCTTAATTTTCATCTTTCAATATATCATTTCTACGTTTCTTTGTTAAACCATAATTTGAAAAACGTCAGTAGGAACAAGAAGGTGGGAACTTTCAGCATGAGAAGTAGTATTATGAGGTCTGTTTTATCCAACTTGAAAGATAATGTACACAAGATCGTCTCTATTTTGAATGACTTCACAGAAAAGAGATTAATAGTTGAAGGGACCATTTTTCATGGGCAGTTGATAAAAAAAGGTGTTTCATCACAGAAACACATTGCCGTTAAGATGCTTATTATGTATCTTAAATCAGGAAAACCAAATGAAATTGATCAGATGCTGAAGGAGTTTGATGGGTTCAACTTAGTTGTACATAATTGTCTTATTACTGCTAATCTTGAATGGGGAAAACTGGACGAAGCTCGTAGACTGTTTGAGGAAATGCCTAAGAGAAATGAAGTTTCTTGGACTGCTATAATTTCGGGGTTGTTGAGGTCTGGAAAAGTTGAAGAGGCAATTTTGTACTTTGAGAAAAACCCATTTCAGAATCTGTTTTCGTGGACAGCAGTTATCAGTGGGCTTGTTCAAAATGGGTTAAGTTTTAAAGCAATGAAGCTGTTTCTCGAGATGCTTCAATCTGGAGTTATGCCTAATGCTGTCACTTTTACTTCCATTATTAGAGCATGTGGAGAGTTGGGTGATTTTAATTTGGGAATGTCTGTGTTGGGTTTGATTGTTAAGATTGGCTATGAACGTAACTTGTCAGTTTCGAATTCTTTGATCACATTTAACTTGAGACTAAATGATACTGTTTCAGCTAGGTCAATTTTTGATAGGATGCAGAGTAAAGATGTCGTTTCGTGGACAGCGATTCTTGACATGTATGTTCAGATGGGAGAATTGGTAGAAGCTCGTCGTGTCTTTGATGAGATGCCAGAAAGAAATGAAGTTTCTTGGAGTACAATGATCTCGAGGTACAGTCAGAGTGGTGATGCAGAAGAGGCAGTGAATCTCTTCATTTGCATGGTCCGGCAGGGGTTTAAACCAAATAAGTCATGTTTTGCTAGCGTAGTAAGTGCATTGGCCAGCCTGGAAGCTTTAGTAATGGGAAAGATTGTTCATGGACATATATTAAAAATCGGGATGGAGAGAGATGCTTACATTGGTAGCTCACTTGTTGACCTTTACTGCAAATGTGGAAGCACCAAGGATGGACGTGTAGCATTCGACTCGATCTTGGAGAAAAATGTTGTTTGTTGGAATTCAATGGTTAGTGGGTATAGTCTCAATAACCAGCCCGAAGAAGCTAAGGAGCTATTTCACAAGATACCCCAAAAAGATAACATCTCATGGAATTCACTAATAACAGGTTATTTAGAGTATGAAAAATTTGACGAGGTTTTTGAAGTTTTCTGTGAGATGCTTCTGTCTGGAGAACGACCAAGTAAATCTACTTTCTCTAGTGTTTTATGTGCCTGTGCGAGCTTAGCTTCACTAGAAAGGGGGAAGAACTCGCATGGTAAGGCAATTAAACTTGGTTTTCACTCTGACATTTTTGTCGACACTGCCCTTGTGGATATGTATGCCAAATCCGGAGATGTTGAAAGCGCAAAGAAAATCTTCAAAAGGATGCCCAAACGCAACGAGATTTCCTGGACAGCTATGATTCAAGGGCTTGCAGAAAACGGCTTTGCAGAGGAAGCACTTGCTGTATTTGAAGAATTTGAACGGACCAAGTCCATTACACCTAATGAGCTGCTTATTTTAGCCGTTTTATTTGCTTGTTCCCACTGTGGTCTAGTAGATAAAGGACTTCATTACTTCAATTCAATGAAAAAGCTCTATAATATACAGCCGAACGATAGGCACTATACCTGTGTAGTGGACATGCTGTCTCGTTCAGGACGTCTTTCTGAAGCAGAGAAGTTCATCTTGGACATGCCTTGTGAACCAGAAGTTCAAGCCTGGGCAGCTCTCTTAAGTGGTTGCAAAACATACAGGAATGAGGTAATAGCAGAAAGGGTGGCGGAAAAGATTTCAGAGCTGGCTGAAAAGCACCCTGAAGAATATGTGTTGCTGTCAAATGTTTATGCTGCAGCTGGCAGATGGTTAGATGTCTTAAACATGAGAAAACAAATGAAGGAAAAAGGACTGAGGAAAAGCGGGGGATGTAGTTGGATAGAAGTGCGGAACCAACCCCATTTCTTCTATTCCCAGGATGGTTCTCACAATGAGTCCACAGAAATTTACGGGGTTTTGGAACTAATGAGGTCAGACATGCTTCTCACATAGATTGCGTCAAGTTTTGAAGGACAACTAATTGAAACCAGATGCAGATCAGAGGTCAAAAGAGTTTTAGAGAACGTTCTTGGTGTAGAAAATGTGAATGCAGGATCCCATTGAATTGAATTGGTCCATGAATCTAAGAAATGGTGAGAATTCTTGATCACTTTCGATTTGAAAATCCAAGATTTGCCTTGATGCCCTCGTAAATTTAAGTGTATAAATGATCTTGCAGAGTAAACGTGTGAATCATTGCTGCAGAAACGCTTGCCTGAAGCTGTAAAGTGGAACTGACATACGAGTAGGGAAAGCAATGTCTTCACTAGTTTCAATCCCTTGGCATAGTAGTTGAAGGTTTATTCTTCTACTGCCACCAAAAAACAAGAAAGGCTGGTAAGTAGGAAAAAGAGTTGGCTCTAGAAAGAAAAAGGAAGAGTTGAAGGGTCAAAAACACACCTAAACTTTTTTTTTTTTTTGAGTTTTATACCTAAACTATTGAAATTGTGAGTTTCATATGTAAATTATCACATTAGTTTGAGAAACACACCTCTCTTTTATTACACTCTCATCAATAGTCATCATGTCTGTCTTTTACACCCCATAATGAGTAGGGGTGGGCATAAATATCGAAAAATCAAATCGAACCGAACTAATTCGGTTCTTCGATTTTTTGGTTTGGTGTTATTTTTTTGAAAGCTCGGTTCTTCGGTTCGGTGTTCGGTGTAAGGGTCTCAAAACTTCGGTGCACCGAAGAATCGACTTTTAAAAAAAATAATAATTATATATATATATATATATATATATATATATATATATATATATATATATATATATATATATATATGAGCATTCTCTTAACTAAAAATTAAAAATTCAATTAACAATTAAATCTTTCATGAACAAATCAAAGTAACAACAAATGTACCATTCAATAGTTAACTTCAAATATTAGTTTCCAAGAGAAACTCAAACATATTTCTACCAATGTACATTATGTAAAGAAACCGTCTTCGTACTTGTTTTTCTCGAGAAATAGTTGGAGGCACATTGTTCTTGATAAAGACAAATATAGTCTTTTAGTTAGCACAATAAATGTTCCACGGTGAGACGCATAATTTCTTAACATAATTTTAAATTTCTAAGTATCTTATACTTTATCCTTATTTTATTTTTCATTCACACCGAAAAACCAATTGAAAATCACCGAAGTAGAAAAAACCGAACCGAATTAGTTTGGTTTAATATACGGTGCACACTTTTAAAAAACCGAAGAACCGAACGCCCACTCCTAAATTAATGAGAGTGTAATAAAAAAGAAGTGTATTTCTCAAACTAATAAGTGATAGTTTTAAGTATGAAATTAATACTCCCAATAGTTTAGTTATGAAATTCAAAAAAGGAATAGTTTAGATGTATTTTTGACACTTATCTCAAAAAGGAATGAATATTCGTTGATTATTCCATCATTGTATATGTCCAGAAAGAATGATATCTTGATAAATGAACACTGATTATTTGTAAGTTGTAAATGCCTTATAAGAATTGGCAAATCATAGATATGATTGCCTATTGAAGTTCTCTACAGAAGATAGTACTTATGGTAGCTGCTAATGCATGTGATAAAGTATTGTTTTAATAAACAAATACTAACACTAATTGATATGAAATTTTTTATTATGGATGAGGCACAACTAGTACTAGTAGTATGAGGGGATTTATTAATTTATATTCTGATTCATGGACCCACATTATAGTTTAGATGACTAGTTTAATTTCCTCAAAGATAATTAATAGAGTATAGTAATATTTTTGTAATTATGATTTGACCCGTATAGGAGAAAATAAAACTTTGTTCAGTTACAGCTTGTGAGTTTATAAATTAAATACGATTAAGTAATTAAGAGCAAAACACAAATTTTCTTGACGTCAAGTTATACACAAATAAGAGGTGAGGGTCCTTAGATTCAATCCATCGGATGGAATAGCGGCTGCACCTTTAATTTTTTAAAATAAGGGATAAATTTTCTGAATTAACTACAAAGAAATAAGGTACGTGGCTAAGAAGATAATTAGTGAATTGTATAAAATTTCATTTGAACTTGTTTGCTGGGCCCATATATATATATTTCAAATTCAATGAAAAAATCATCCAATTTAAATCCGCGCCAATTTCAAAATTATCCCCATTTCCTTCTCCGTCGAACTCACGCGATCTATTTCAACGGCGAACTCGATTTACTCATTTACTCTTTTGTCTTTGAATTTCCCTTCTTCTTCTTCTTCCAATTTCTTCAACAGAGGACAAAGTGATCGCTGATTTTCTCGCAGTAGAATTGCCAGTTGAGTTGAAATGCTTTGTCTTCTCCAATTTGACGGTACAATACGAAGTAAGTATTTCATAATGTTGTTAGCTTCAGCTATTCAAATCGAAAAGAGGTAATATATCAAACAAAAGGGTCATAGACATAAATATTCCGGTTAATGTTTGGTGATTTTCATCCTTACATGACTCCATCAATTCAGTAGGCTGTAATCCATATCGACAAATGATAAATGTGATTTTGATTATGTGTTGTTTCTAATGTATTTTCGCTTTCTCATTGAGGTGAAATCTGTTGACATACATTTTTATCAGGAAATTAGATAATAATGGATGGTTATGCGCTTAAGTCCGTGTCGGACTTGCCTCCTGTTTTCCGTTCAACTTTCAGTTTCAGGTACTACTCTTTTCAGTATCCTATCAATCGAATTTCTATGCGCCTTTTTATATACTAGTGCTAGGAAATTTTATTGTTTGTTTGAGATATTTTTTGTAAAATTTTATTAAGACTTCCGTTCGTCAACACTGTCAATTGAATGTTCAAGTGCGCTTATTGTACTACTGGAATCCTTGAAATGAAGAAGTTACACACTCTCCTACTGCGATATGGGCATCACCTGAAATTTGTAAAAGTGGGATATAGAGAACCTCTAGTATAGAGATCGACTTATTAATTTTTTGAGTTAAATAATTGAGTATTTAAATGAAATGTGTGGGATATATATATATATATATATATATATATATATATATATATATAGATAGATAGATAGATAGAGAGAGAGAGAGAGAGAGAGAGAGAGAGAGAGGAATCATATACTGACCTCAACTAGTTTAGGGTTGAGGTGTTGTAGTTATTGTTGATGTGACGTAAATCATTTAGGAAGCCACTACACATATACTAGCCACAGAACTTGTACACTGTTTCCAGACTCCTAGAAATGCCTCAATGCTGATTGCTGGCTCTTTTTATTTGCCCTTGCTCACAAGTCAAACTGTAGAGATGGCTGTTTGATCATCAGCTTCACATCTGCACTAGGCTATCACTGTATTACATTCTTTAGTATCCCAAACTAGCTGATAGTGTTTCAAGTACTGTTTTTCTACATGCAGATATTTTAATTCGCTGCAGAGTGAATGCTTTCCTGCTTGTTTCCTGTCGGATGTGAACATGGTAATTTCAGCGCCAACAGGAAGTGGGAAAACAGTGCTTTTTGAACTATGCATTTTGAGGCTTCTCTCAAGGTTTATCTCAGGAGAGGGAAAATTTATTCACATGAAGGGGTCTCTGAAGGCTGTAAGTTTCTATCAATGTTTTGCACAAGATAACTGAATTTGCAATTTCAAGGAGAATGATCCATTGAATGGAAGAAGTCAAACGTGCTGGAAAACCTTCATTTTCTGATGTTTTAACTGCATGCCTTGTCTATTTTATTTCACACTACCAGCTTATTCAGACTCTCTTTTTGCTACAACTTTTTATCATCATCCTTTGGGATGAAAGAGTTAGTGCACCTCAATAATGCACGGTTTTACTGGCCATTCCTATCCACGTCCTGTAGATTGATATATTGTTTCAAATTGCATATGTCAGGATATTCACAGTGATGTTTGCCACTTTTACCTACTCCTGCCCGTGCAAAGACAATTATGTAGCCATTGGAAATTTTCATCATCTTTTAGTCATTTAGCACACTTGCAAACTCCTTTTTTCTTCTGATATATAGATATATGTTGCACCCTCAAAAGCACTGATACAAGAGAAGCTTCGTAATTGGAACCAGAAGCTTGGTTCATGGGGGATAAATTGCTTGGAACTGACAGGGGACAATGAGAACTACAAAATCACAGATATACAGGACGCTGATGTAATTCTTACCACTCCTGAGGTCAGACTAAAAATGAAAACCAGCCATCACTCTTTTTCTGTTTCTTGGCTAACTATGTGATTGCCATTGAGTTTGTTATTTTTCTGCAGAAGTTTGATGCTGTGACTCGTTATCGCATAAATAATGGAGGCCTGAGTTTTTTTGGTGATATTGCATTGGTGCTAATTGATGAAGTCCATTTGTTGAATGATCCTCGTGGAGCAGCTTTGGAGGCAATTGTCAGTAGAATTAAAATGCTTTCTCGCAAACCTGAACTGAAATCAAGTGCTCTAGCTAATGTCCGTTTTTTGGCTGTTTCTGCAACCATTCCCAACATTGATGACCTTGGTAAATTTCAAGATAGTTCAAACAAGCCAACATTTCATGATAATCGCTGATATAGTAGTTTGATTGTAAGTCTCTCTTTATGCAGCAGAATGGCTCATGGTCCCCAGGCAAGGAGTAAAAAGGTAGAATTCTATATATATGCCATCTTTTTATTAATCAAAGAAAGTATCACTTTAGTTCTGTAAAACACTGTCCAATATGCAGGTTTGGGGAAGAAATGAGACCCGTGAAGTTGACTACCAAAGTTTTTGGTATTTACTTATTCTTACGATGAATGTTCAATTTGATTCAGTCCTGGTTACACCCTAACTCAATTATTCAATTTGTGCTTACTACCTTTATCTTAAATTAGGTGTCATTTTTTGACTTTTTGCTGTTTTAAAATCTAGAGAGTTAAAATACTCATTTCTTGGTAGTAGTTAGGAAGGTGGGCAGGCAATGCTTGGGAGTTTGAATTCCCTTTATAATATTGTTAAGTATAAAACCTATAAAAGAAGGAAGTGTAAAACTGAGTTCAAACAAAAATATCAAAGCAGGTCCCAGTTAGATCTTTGATTGGATAATATTGAACCAACTGCCAAGTAAATGACAAAGTACTTCATTTTGGGAGAGAGTGTACTTTCTGATAAAATGAGACGGAAGTACATTGAGGACACTGAGTCACACATATCGGTATAATGCCTTAAAATGCATCAAGCACCTTTGTAGGAAGTGCATTGACATGCCTCTGGGGTAATCATTGCCTGAGCTTCTTATAAGTTCTGCATTGCCAACCCTCTGTCTGCAGGATACACTCCCGCAAAGAATGACTTTCTATTTGAAAAGGTATGTTGTTTGTTGTCTTTTCTTTTTCAGTTTTCTGTTTATACCTCTGTTCACTCTTTCAAAGTTTTGAAAGTCTCCCCACTTCTATCCAGTTTCATGTCTTGCTTTGTCAAATTTTAGAATCTATTTTACAGGATAGCTAGAGATTATCATTATTACACCTTGAAATACCTCTTAATATCTTGACAATACTGTTTGATTTTCTTTTCCAGCGCCTACAGAACTTTGTCTTCGGTAAGCATAAAAAGCTAGTTGTGACATCATATACCTCCTATTTTCAATTTATACTCCCTTACTATGTTCTATTCAATGTCTAGAACTAAGCATGAGAGTTTGTACAGATATCCTCATGCAACATTCTAGAGGAAAATCTGCTCTAGTTTTTTGCTCAACCAGAAAAGGAGCACAAGAGGCAGCACAACAGCTCTCTCAGACAGCAATGACCTTTGGTCATTCAAATCCTTTCATCAAAAGCAGAGAGCAACAAGAAAGGTTGAGGGAAGCTTCACTATCATGTAGTGACAAACAAATGCAGTCTTATATTCTTTATGGTGGTATGTTCTATCCTCCCTAACTTTTGTTGGCGGCACTATCAGACCCCTGATTGAAACAAAATGTGTTTTTCATTCTCTCTTTTTCCTTTGTACTGGGATGTTGAATATGTAGGTGTATTGAGCCTAGACCCTGCAGATTATTGATTATCTGTGTTATGCAGTTGGTTATCACAATGGTGGTCTTTCCATGAACGACCGCAACCTCATTGAAGGCCTCTTTCTGAATGGTGATATTCAAGTGCTGTGCACTACAAATACTCTTGCCCATGGAATTAATCTACCAGCACATACCGTTGTGCTTAAATCAACTCAGTACTTGTATGTCCACCAGCTATTATCTGATTTGTTCATTAGTCAGATGTCATCTTTGTAATTCTATCATGTTCTTTCCAGCAATAAGGAAAAAGGGACTTACATGGAATATGACAGATCAACCGTCCTGCAGGCATGCTACTCTTCCCTGGGGTTCCTCTGCTAAGTCATTTGTATTCGGCAATACAAAATTGTACTGTATCTAGAATTCAAAGATGATGATTTCGTCCACACTTGGAAACCTACATCTAAAGTAAAATTATTGTTAGTTCCAAATAAGAGTTATATATTTTCCAACTATTGCAGATGTCAGGAAGAGCAGGTCGACCACCATTTGATGACACGGGAATGGTCATAATCATGACCAGAAAAGAAACTGTGAGTCTTCCCGTTGTGATACAGATGAGGTTCACCGCATTATGAAAAATTGACAGAGTAATTTTATGTTGTCTTTTCTCTTTTCTTTCCGTGCAGTCATCAGTCAGTAGCTAATCTTCTGTACTTCATCTTGATCATTACTGCTAATTTTCCTATCTGAACCTTCTTTTACACATTAGGTTCACTTGTACGAGAATTTATTAAGTGGATGCGAATTGGTGGAGTCACAGTATGTAACTATTCATCTTGTTAGTTAGTGATGCTTTTCGATCTTGGGTGCATCCAAAACGGACTGTGTAACCAAGAAGTTGATGTGGTTTTCTTTCTCTTTAGATTGCTTCCATGTATTACAGAGCACCTAACAGCAGAGATTGTTCAACTGACCGTGTCAGATATAACAGGAGCAATTGAATGGATGAAATGCTCATTTTTGTATGTTAGAATAAGAAAGGTATATCTTCCTGAGCTGAATAATGAGAACATGATCTATCTGCAATTTCTGTAAAATTTTATCCCTAACAATTTTCAGTCAAAATATAGAATCCAGAGAAATATGCAGTAAGGAAGGGGCTAACTGGCGACCGTTTAGAGAGGCATATGCAAGGTGATCAGTGGCACTGGTAAACTATGAAGTTCTTTCAAGTTTATTTAGCCATATGTGCTGACTTAAAATATATATTCCAGATATTTGTGTTCAGAATGTAAATGAGTTGTCAAGGTATCAATTGATTTGGACAGATGAAGATGGTTTCCTCTTAAAGCCTCTTGGTATGGAGATTTCAGAATGCAGTGTAGTCTAATATCCATGTTGGATATCATAATTTCTGCCTCGTTTATACGCAGAACCTGGAAAGTTGATGACGAAATATTATCTGAAATTCGACACGATGAAGCACATCATGCAAGCCCCTGGAAACTGTAGCATAGAGGATGCACTTCAAATCATTTGCCGTGCTGAGGAACTTAGCTGTATCTTTTCATACTCTACCAATTAAAATGTTATTACAACAGGTGTTATGTCTCACTTTCCTGTAAAATGAAGGGATACAACTGAGGCGCAATGAGAAGAAGCTCCTGAATGACATAAACATTGACAAAGACAATAGGCTCCGCTTTCACATCCTTGGGGACAAAGAGAAAAGAAAAAAGCGGGTCCAAACCAAAGAAGAGAAGATATTTGTTTTGGCAAACGACTGCCTAACGGGGGACCCTTTGGTCTTTGATTTATCCCTTAGCCAGGTTGTCATCAAGTTCATGTATTATATTACCATGCACCAAAGGCATTGATATGGGCTAATAGTCTTTTAATGATATAGGACGTGAACTCTATATGTGCAAATGGCTATAGAATTGCAAAGTGCATGAAAGAGTATTTCCTTTACAGGAAGAACTATCGAGGAGCTTTGAGTTCAGCACTTCTAACCAAATCCTTGTATCAAAAGGTCTGGGATGATAGTCCATACTTGCTGAAACAATTACCTGGTATTGGAATGGTGACAGCAAAGGTTTGTAGCTTATATTGATCTGATAGTCCATGTTTTGGGAACAGACAGATTCCTAAGGTTTATCCTGATGTACACTTATCTTCCTGCACAGGCACTTCATTCAATGGGAGTAAAATCATTTGCCTCACTCTCCGATGCAGATCCAAGGAAAATAGAGATGGTCACTGGCAGAAAATATCCTTTTGGGAATCATATAAAAGAGTCATTACTATCGTTACCCCCAGAAATTGAGATGAGGGTTGAGGAAACTGAGAGCCAAAGGCAAGGGAAGTCCAAGGTTATGGTAACACTGACTAGGTTGTCACAACCTGCTCAAACAACTAAACGACATTATGCTGATATGGTATGGTAATTATAGGGAACATTTCGCCTGTGCGTTATTTTCTACATCACACTTACTTTGTTGTAGAATTTACTCAATGACATTCAGTTGAAAACTTTCTGATAGGTGGTTGGCGTTGAAGAAGATAATCTGGTACTGTTTCATGAGAAAATAAGGTAATAGATTCTTAAATATGGAGTGTGCACTTTAAAATGACATCATTTTCCTTGAAAAAACAAAAGCTTCTCAACAAAGTATGAACATTTCAAAGCATGTTTGTATCAGCTCAAATTTAGAATATCATTATTTTTCTTGAAATTAATAAGGTTCCCAACAAATTATTAGGATTTTCAAAGCATGCTTATATTAGGTCAATTTTCTAGGTGTCCAGCATATACTTCTGTATGAGTAGTCATATGTCAGATGCCTATCTAATGATTCCCTTTGGCTGTTCTACTTATGAACTAGTGGTGTTGAATTTTTCTTTATGATTATTTAGCCACTAGAATGACTTGGGATTTTTTTTCTTGCTGCAGGGTGGATGAATTTCCTAGGTACTCTTAAAAGTTTGGTCCCCATTTCCAAATCAAGCCTGAGAAACTGCCAAACTATACCAACTAGATTATTAAATTCATGAAATTCTTGTGAATGCCATATTTAGTAGTGATCTTCACTGTTATTATGGTTTTCTTTTAGTGATCTTCACTGTTATTATGGTTTTCTTTTACAGCCCTTATAGCAAGACAGTTATGGTGCCAAGTCCCCAGCAAGGGAAGCTGACTGTTAAAGCAGATCTGATATTTGATGAATTTAGTTAACTCCTCACACATTCTATGTGTATTTTCATTTATGTGTACTGCTTCTCCCCTTGAGTTTTATCTGACTAGATCACATCATTTTTCTGCAGTTGGTGTTGATCTCCATCAAAAGGTTTTATTGATAAACATGGTTGACCATAATTTTGTGATGAAGTACAGAACCAAGCAACCCTCTTCCTTCCAGAACAATGATGTCTGCATCATAGAGGACACACAAGATGCAGCTCAAGCATCATGCCAAGTGTCTCACAGTTTAGCTGAAGCTGGTTGGAGCTCAGACATGTGAGAGCTAACTTTCCCTTTTTATGAACGTAAAGCATATGATAACCATGATGATTGACAATATGACTGCTAACTTTTGTAGTTTCTGTTTCTTATTTGGATTATTGGGTCATGAATATTAGACCTTATACAGGAGAGGGAAGTTTGAACTTATAGCAAATTCCATCTGTATTTGATGGCACCATATGAAATAATTGTGTGGTATATGTTTTGGGGAAACTGAAGGTTCCTGATTCTATCGTTCTCTCTTACATGTATGACAGGTTGAATCTGCTTCCACACTGAATACTAACTGGCTTCTTGTTTCTGTTATCAGGCCCAGTTTCAAGCTAATAGATGAAGATCTAGACGAAGGTAGCAATTTAAGCTCTCACATGTTTTGTGTTTAATGTACTTCAATGTGTTACTGACTTCTGCTGCTATATACATCAATGAAGTGGTACTTGCTGCTGCAGTCGAAGATGATGAATGCAGAATCATAAACGAAAATACAATATTTGACCATATACGTGAAAAGGCTAAACACCTCCCTGCTTTGACCTCACTGAAAGGTACATGTTTACCATCATTAGAGACTTTGAATCTCATCAGAAAGCGCACTCGCGAGAAGCAGCTTCTTGTTGAGAATGCTGTAGGAGTATCTGAAGAAGTGAGAAGAACCAAAGTCCCATGTCACAACATGGTCATTCAATCTGCACAATATATTGATCTAGAAGAAAATAGACCATTTTCTAACAAAGATCAGAGACCATATAGCCATCACGTCTCTAATGCCATTTACCTGCCTGATGAGAGAGGTAATATACAAAGTCATTGGCGCTAATATCTGTAGATTATATGCAGGCTGACATCAAATTATACTGTTCTAGGTGAGCTTTTCTTTGAAACTGGGAGTGTTCCATCTGAAACAATTGCTGAAGAAATGATATTCAAATATAACCCTATAGATTCTAAGATGTTCCACAGCTTTGAGAATGTGAAGAACACAGAACCCAAGTTACTCAATATGGCCAATGGAACCTGCATAATTCACCAACCTGAGCACATTTCTTCCAGCTTTGGGTTTCAAGAGACAACTCCAACAAAAGTTACGAAAAATGCAGCAAGTAAACAAATTGAAGAGGTTGAGGATCTAACTATTCATGGTTACACCCCTGGTACAAGTGAAAAAACTGATCTTTCTATGGAAACCTCGAGAAAAGATGCAGAGGGAAGATCAAGATTGTTGTCAGCTGCAGATGCTTACTTTATTAGGAATAAAGGTGGATATCCACTACGTTCTCCAAGTTTCAAGGAACAACAGGGCACTTCTTCAGTACAAGTTGGAGAAATCAGTCAACCTAATCCCTTTCTTGGGTTTAAAAGCATTTTTACATTTCTGTTCGAGTGAACATGGTGGTATCTAGGATATGTTGAATCCAATGACTTGCTTTGTCAGCTATATTGAGAACTATGTGTTTAAAATTTGTTTGGTCTCCTTTACTTGGTTAGATAAAATTACTTTCTTTGCGGTAAATATAGGGTATTGTGTTATGATTTATGACTTATAAGAATTTCTACATTATTAGTATATTCTTACTTGTTATAGGAGGTAACCTGATTTATTTATCAGGTTACTAGAGTAATGTATTAAGAATGTTTACCTATAGTTATCATTTTGGTGTCTTCGTGGTATTAAAGAGATTTTACATTGTTAGAATAGAAGTTTAACTAATAGTCAATTAAAGATGTACAACTAAAGGGAATTGAGAATTTCGACAATTGGGCAAAATAAATTATAGAGATAAACTAAATCCCCACTTTATTCCAACAAAATGCATTTCACAAGTACAAGATGTTGAAAGATTTTGAGAGGGAAATTGTTTTTTTATCATCAAGTTAATGCATGCATAAAAGTTCTTGTATTCATATCAAATAGAATGCATAATTAATAAAGTGTGTATTGAAGTCATCAAATAAAGTATTGTAATAATCACTAGCAAACAATTTCTTTTTAATTCTAACTTATAGCACAATCAAAAGAGTATTATTATTTTTGACGTACCTTTAATTTAAAATTAAAAATCATCTGCACTTTCTTGAATTTTGGCGCAAGTCCGAGTGGATAAAGAAATTGAAAGAGAGGGGGTGGAGTAAATAATTTCCAAATGGCCATAAAAAAGGTAGTCAAATTTCGTAGAATACTGGATGGTTCTCGATTCTCCTGTGGACCACCATAAATAGAGTGAGCTCGTTTTACAGAGTATTTACCCTTTTCGGCGGCTTCTAGTATTCAGCCAAAAACTCTATTTCTCGTGCCCCTGTTATTTTGCGTAACCGTCTCACACCGATCTGCTTGCTAAGGTTTGCTTCTTCCCTTCCTCTGTTTTTTCTCCTTCTCTTTCTTCTTCAATTTCTATGGTTATTTGCTGTAGCAAATGATTGCTTTTTGTTGCTTGATACAGTAAAATGCTTGATTTCAAGTTACTATGTGTTTTTTCGCCATATTTCATTGCATGTTTTATTTTCAAAGTGGAAAATGATATTTGAAACTTGAAAGTTAGAGTTGCAGTTGACCATGAATACAAATTAGAGTTGTCTTTGATTATTTTTGAATACTTTGGAGTGAAAAAAGTGATTTTTATTGTTTTTCAAATTGCCGAAAATTCTGGATTTCGGAATTTCATGAAAGTGTTTTTCGGAGTGAAAAAGTTCCATGTCAAACCCTCCATATGTGCGTTGGTGGTTCGACTAAACTCAACAATCTGAAGAATATAAAAAAGAAAAAGAAAACATCTCTTTAATATCCGGGAAGTCAAATTTGCTTTTACGAGAATATACATGAGTTGCTGAGGAAGGATTTGAATGAAGGAAAAGGGAGAATTATTCAATGATTTTTTTACTGTTGCTACTTTTTGTTTCTCTTACATTAGAGCTGAGACTACAGCTTCGTGGTTGACGCCTTTTGTTTATACTCCTTCCTTAAAAGAAGGGAAGAAATGGCAGGTTCCCATATTGCACATGCTGCTTACAAGGGTCCAAGTGTAGTGAAAGAGATTATGATAGGGATTGCTCTTGGAATAGTTGCGGGAGGTTTGTGGAAGATGCACCATTGGAACAACCAGAGGAGAACTAAGGAATTCTATGATTTGCTTGACAAAAATGAGATCAGTGTTGTGGTGAATGACGAGTAACTTTTCAAGAATTTGCTTCAGCATGAAAGTTTGGCTCATATGGTAAATGAACAATGTATATTTCAGATAATGTTTGAATTTTAATATGCTAATAATTTTCAGTTGGAAATATAATGATAGTTCTTTTGAATATATTCAGATGGTATGTTTGATTAGAATGAGGCAAAATGAATTAGGAAATGTTTGACTTGATTTGGTGGGGTGCGCCAGGCCTGGGCAGTAGTGCAACGCCAAGGCGACACATGAAGACCCAAGTAGCAAGCTACTTTGATGGGCCTTCCCCCTTAAAAAATTGAGTTAATATCGTGTGAGCCAATGGCCCACATATCAGTTATTAAATTGATAAGAACAGATACTACACTTGATCTTAGCCAAAAGGCCGAGAAAGGTATGCTTTATCCTGGCAACGGGCCTTGATTTTTATAGTAGATCTTGGCTATATAGGTATTAGCTATTTCCGATATGGGATGAATAGACTAATTCAAAAACACTCTCCTTTGCTTTCTCGAATGTTGTAAAAGCTTTTTTAGTTCTTATGTGTGAGATTCTGCCTAACAATAAAATGGACACCTGACAGTGATGTTTCGAGTATTGCTTGGCTGGTAAATGGAACAGAATTTGCTATACAGATATGAACTGATTGGGATGCTTATTTCACTTCAGTGTCATTCTGCGTATCTTCTAAAAAACTCTATAACTGAGCCTAGCATATCTGGCATTTTAGGCTCCCTAACATGAGTTTGTTTTGTGTTTTTTTGTTATCCTGTTTATATTTACTGCATTCGAGCAGGAAGAAATCCCTGTTCTTGGGCTGGCAATTGTTATAAACAAAATTCATAAGAGCTAGTGGCGCAGGGGATAGGGAATATGCTCCTATATCCTTCTCCACTTAAATGTCGACACATTTGTATGCAGCAGAGTTCAAACTTGTGACGTGAGCATAATCTACACATCACTTGTTACACTCTTATCATGTGGCTATTATGAAGCAGATTGTAGATTGCTAAATGAAAGCACGATTCTTTTTGCTTCCTAAACCGAGAGGGCACATTTCTTACTTGTATGAGTTTTACACTGCTAGCAAATAGATGCCTCCGGTGCAAGTATGTTTGTTGGTCATAGTTGAGATTTAATACATGACTTAGCAACCAATTTGTGAGAAGATATTTTGGTATTCGTCACATTCTAACATCGAAGTGAATTATGTATGGAGATTATTTTAGCTTTGTTGGTCGTACTGCGTAGGAACTAGGTGCAGAGAAAGTGGTAAGACGTTAGTAAAACTAATCAACACCCTGTCAAATTTTTTGGAAGATTAAACAATAGAGCAATTTTTTTATTTCCTGGTTTTCATATATAATCGAATTAAGTAGAAAAAAGAGCCCTAAGTAAAGGTGTATGTACTCGATTAAATTTACCATTTCCCGGGGATTGGAATTTGGAACACAATGGATTAATAAGTAAAAGGCCAGAATAGTGTTTGTAGAACAGATGAGGCCGAAAGACAAAAGTTGAACTCGATTTGGTGGGGTGCGCCAGGCCCAAGCAGTAGTGCAACGCATGGGCGACGCGCAAAAGCCCAGGTAGCAAGCTACCTTAATGGACTTTTCCCCTTAAAAAATTAAGTTAATATCGTGTGAACCAATGGTCCACATATCAGATATTAAACTGATAAGAACAGATACTACACTTGATCTTAGCCAAAAGGCCGAGAAAGGTATGATTGATTATGTCAATGGGCCTTGGATTTTACAGCAGATCTTGGTTATCTATGCATTAGCTATTTCCGATATGGGATGAATAGACTATACAAAAACAACCCCTATTGTTTTCTATGAAGTGTAAACCCTTTATTTACTTCTTATGGGACTATCAGATTCTGCCTAACATGAAATGATCACTTTATCAGTGGATGATTCGAGTATTACCTGGCTGCTTAATGGTACAGAATTTGCTTTACAAATTACTAAACATTTTGAGATGCTTGTTTCACTTCATGTGATACTGCTGATCTCTAAAGATCCATTGTTATAAAGAAACAGTTTTGCCATTTATGAATAAAAACATTGATGGATCCATTGTAATACAAAGTTTGTAGTAACATTTTATGCACATGAAGTGCAGTCTTTTCCTGTAAATGCCAAAATGACTTCATGAATTGGAGTATAGTCTTTTCCATTATTATGATCAACAAAAGAAAAAGTAACAGACTCTCCAAAATTTCTTCAAAATTATCCTATATGGATGTGTGTATCAGGTCCTCTTTCAGGTTTTATTTTTCGATTTGTAGTATATTTTGAAGAACATATATAAATGCAGTATTTACATTATTCTTATTTTTTTTACTAATAATGGAGTACTATGTTACACCAATTAATTCTTTGGCAGATTTTTAGTTGACATTTAAGGATAGTATGGTCCAAAGACAGTGATGTCCCAATGCTTATCAGTCGAATTGCATATATTGTATTCTCACATCATATCAACTGAACAATAAATTTCACAAGAGACATAATTTTCACTACAAAACCTCAATCATTAGTGAAAATTATTAAAATTTCTACAACTATTATATAATCTTTTCAAATGAACAAATTATAGTTCATAAACAAAATAGCTAAATATCTTAAGGCGCCACATTAATAGATCACATATCTCCATATATTTTTTATATAATAGATCGATATTTTGTGCTTTTAATTCACCTCACTTTTATTTCCCGGCAACCAAGGAAAATGCAAATTTAATACTTGTCTGATAAGTAGTACTAACATTGAGGGTCTACTCTTTTCTGTTTTTTAAAAAATGTTTGTAAGCTCAATTATATGGTAGATATATATTTAGTTGACATCGTGTGGTCCAGGAACAGTGAAGACTGAAGTCCCAACGCTTACCTGCTAATGCTATATCTGGTCCACCACCATTGGCCAAGTGTAAGCACGAATATAATATTTCATTCGTTTCAATTTATGTGATATCATTTAATTTGATTTTTTAAATTTATAATTTAAAATATTCTTTGATTATATATGTGGTCACAAATTATTTTATTTAGGAAAAAAGAGGAATTTAAATTAAATCTCTAATTATAAAAAAAAATATTTTTAGGATATATGAACTAAAATAAAAATGTGTTATATAAATTTGAGACAGTGAGATATTATCCTTCAATAGCAACCGCTTATCAGCGGAATTGCGTATACTGCATTCTTACCTCATGTCAACTGATCAATAGATTTTTTCGACATTCTTCTAAATAATTATTGTCATTTATTTATCATTTAATTTCAATGATACACCTATAGGCTATAGTTTCTCATCTATTGCCTCGAGGTTAATTTGGTTTTGTCGTAAAAGTATCGAATGCAATATGTGGGTTAGATGCATGTCACAGTTAAAATTTTGTTGCAGATTTTTTAATTATTAAAAAAATATATATATTAATTTTGAAAATTTTACTCTTGATTCAAAATCACAAATAAGGTAAATCTGAATTGTATTGTAAGTCCTACCATCCAAATAGGATCTATTCTTCTTTTTGTCTAGTTAATCCTCTTATAAAATTTATTTTGATAATTCAATTGATTGATTATCTAAATTTTTAACGTGTTGGTGAGAGTTCGATTTCCATCCTTGTCATTTTCTCCCCTATTTTTCCTGGCCTTACCCGCAATTTGGAAGAAAAAAAATTATAAGAAAAGTCTATTCTTGGTAGTAAATACTGTCTATATTCACAACAAAATTAGGTAGTTGAGGTAAATGAATTTAGTCGGCATTTGGTAGCTCAAAATGGGGTCCAAATGAACCGGCTATATCCACATAATTTAATTATATGATGGCATTTCATAATGACAAAAGGCCAGGACAAACGAATTAGCTTTACGCAATTCATGCACCTCTTTGAAAATGATACAGTAGCTATGCTTCTGTCTAACACTTTCTTAGGGGCGGCAAAGTTGGATTGAATCGAATTTGGATGGATTGAGTAAAAATGGTTTGGTTTACAATCTATCCAAATAGAATATAGATAAATATGGATTTGGATAAAATGGTTCTAACCCATTTAAAAAAATTTGTTTTCCAAAAAAAAAATAATTACCCCCTCCCCCGGGCATTCCCCACCCTCGGGGCGCCTCCCCCCACCTTCCACCAACCGACCCCTAAATTTTTTTGTTTTCCAAAAACAAAACAAAAAATCTCTTTTTAAAAAAACAAATAAAAAAATTACCCCCTCCTCCCCCCCCCCCCCCACCACCTTCCACCAACCTATCCCTAATTTCCAAAAACAAAAAAAACAAAAAAAAATATGTTTTTCAAAAACATAAAATTACCCCCACCCCTGGGTCCCCCCCACCTTCCACCAACCTACCACTAAATTTTTTTTGTTTTCCAAAAACCAAAAAAAAATCTGTTTTTCAAAAAAAAATAAAAATTTACCCCTTCCCCCAACCCCCACCTTCCACCAATCGACCCCTAATTTTTTTTTTGTTTTTCCAAAACAAAAAAAAATCTATTTCATTTCACTTATATGGGCTGGATATGGATTCCCATGTTAACCCATTTTGTTCATATTTGTATGAGCTTAAATAGATTGAAGACCATATTAGCCCATTTAAGAAAATGAAAGAAAATATGAGTGATTCATTTAATTTAATATGTGGTTTCTATAATTTATACTTCATTTAATTTAATATGGGCAAAATGGTTTCATTTCACTTATATGGGCTGAAATTGCCACCCCTACACTTTCTTGTATCATCACTCACCAAAAATGCAAAAATAAAATCATAAAAATGCACAACTACAGCAATTCTATTACTGTACAAAAAATGTACTGATCAAAAATCTCTCAAAAATTCCATTTCTATATTTGTCTTTGCAGTTATTACCTATTTTCAGACTCTTTTAAAAGGAATTCGTCACTTTTGTGTGGTCCAGTTGATGAGCTTTGCATACTTGAGGACCCAGTGGTGGTGGCATAAGATGATGATTCATCAAGTTTATAGAGTGCATTTGAGACTAAACTTCTTATACTGGATTTGACTGAACCGCCAACTAATAAGTTCGAATTTAAGAATGGTGGTTGGCATGGTTCTGGAATTTGATAGCCCTCACACGTTAGCATTTGGACAACTTCACTCATTGATGGTCTTAAAGCGACAGAAGCTTGAGTGCACAACAACCCCACTTTTAGTACCTTTGATGCCTCTTCTGGCGGAAAATCGCCTTTCAATAGAGGATCTAATGCTTCAGTTACCTGATTTGTTGTGTACAGCTTCCACACCTGAAACCAAAATGACAATATACTGAGTTATATGATAAAAATAGTTTTTTTTTACTTATCTACTAAAGTTCAATGATATTCATATAATGACCATGATAAAGAGAAATCTATAGCATTCTTACTGTTTGTAGTAGAGAGCCAGAGTCCTCTGCAAAGGCAATACTTTTTCTGCCACTAACGATTTCAAGAACAAGCACCCCATAGCTATAGACATCAGCCTTCTCTGTTAGCTGTCCTTTTACGAGGTATTCAGGAGCCATATATCCTCTGTACACCGAAAATCACAGATTAAGTTTAAGAAACGGACAAGTGTTTGTGAACTGTATTGATACGTATTTGTGAATTGTTGACTTACAATGTTCCAGCAATTCCAGTGCTGAGATGAGTTTTGTCAGTTCCAAAACACCGAGCAAGTCCAAAATCAGCAATTTTTGCTTCAAGATTTTCATCAAGAAGTACATTGGAGCTCTTGATGTCCCTATGGATGATTCTGATCTCTGAACCTCCATGAAGGAAATCAATGCCTTGTGCTGTTCCAACTATAATACGGAAACGTTCTTCCCAACTTAGAATCTTTACCTTGTCCTTATCTACAAAAAAAATTCAACAACTCAATTAGAAGTCTGCAACTGTCACAACTTAGAAATGTATAGGTAGGAACAATGCTGTGTCAAAATCCAGGTTCAACTGTCAAGCTATTTTCCACTCTGCCCCAAACTTTGGGGCCTCACGTTTTTGTCACATTGGGTTTTACCCAAAAGATGTCTTTGACAGTTGGATTCCTTAACTTTCCCTTTTTATGTATGGAACAAGAAAGAAAGATAATTACCAAAGAGGTATTGATCTAGACTCTTGTTGGTCACAAACTCGTATACTAGCAGGCTCTCGGGGCCTTCAATGCTGCAACCCAACAACTTGACAAGATTTTTGTGTTCAATTCCATGGATGAGATTAACCTCATTGAAGAAGTCATCAACCCATTGTCTTGTATTGAAAAATAGTCTCTTAACTGCAATAACATTTCCATTAGGCAGAGTCCCTTTGTATACAGAACCATTTCCTCCTTGACCTACTTTTGTTGAAGGATCAAAGTAGTTTGTTGCCTTCTCAAGATTTTCATATTTAAAATTCAAGCTCGACTTGTTGTATGAATTCGATATTTTGCCAAGATTAATGCGTGCTGCAACAATGCAACCAAAAAAATTATTATACTTCTAAGCTTACGTAGTAGTAATAAATATATAGTCATTGAACGTAGTAACAGTAACAGTACAGTTACGAAACTATTTTATTTTGTTCAATACCTCGTTTTCGCCTTAATGATCTTTTACGAGCTGTGTACGCAGCTGAGAGAGCAAGCATGGTGAAAGCTGTCACTCCAAGAACGATAGCTACTATCACCCCTTTGCTTACCCCTGAAAATAACAGCATTTTCATTACAAAATGCAGAAGATAAAGTCAAAACAGGTGCACAAAAGTCAATTAATTTTGTATTCTTTTATAAATTTAATTTAAATTTGTGTTTCTTTCGTAAAAGATTTTTCTTTTTACAAATAAAAAATCTCAAAATAAGAAATAAGATTTATGAAAAGAAGTCATCTTCCTTCCATTCATATTTGAAAATGACCATAGGGAGTAGGGACCATTTCCTTGAAAAGTTTTAGTTAGGTCAAGAAAGTTGGCGAAAATTTAGAAAAATTATGGCATTTTAACGTTGAATCGTAGTTAATTTTTGCCGTCAAAATAAAAGCAAAGTACCACCCCCCCTTCCCCACTCCACCCACCAAAAAATCAATAGGAAAATTTGACCAGAGGTGGATGCAGCCACATTTATTTTTGACATGGAATATACATTTTTTTGTGCGAAAATTACAAAAAAAATAAAATTAAAAAGCTTAATCTTTATATTGAGAATTTAAAAAAGAAACAATATGTTCATTTTTTAAAAAACCTTTAAAAATTAAACTCATCAACTTTAAATTCAAAATAAACTTCTGAGGTTGATCAGCTAAAATAGAAAAGAAAGTGAAGCCGGGAAAATGTTCGCAAATCAAATTCACCTTGACATGCCATCGAAAACTGGTCGAAGAAATACTATCCCCTCCTCGTTTCAATGTCGTTTAAGGTTTTAGTAACTTATTATAAAAATATTAAGTAAAAAATAATAATTTACTAAATTATTACTTAATTGAAAAGTTAGTATTATTACTCACTTCTGGCATTTTTAATAGCAAGAGTAGAAATGAAGAAAGAGCTATTCTATCTTGATTTTCTAAATCGATATATACCTTAAAACTTCATTTTACACCAAAAAGAAACTTAAAATGAAATGGAAAAATACATGAATTAAAGAATAACATAGGACAATTCAGTTTGAGCATAAAAATAGAGAAATACTTACCACCGCTACTGTTCCCGGATGGATGATTGAGAAAATTTTGTGTAGAATATCTCAAATAACAGCCAGCAATCAAAGCTCTAGCATCTCTATTCGGAAAACACCCTTTGATATCTCTACTTGCTTTGTCCAAACATTTTTTACAACCACTTGTACTCACAGTTTTCCAACACTGCGCCAATCCATAAACTCCGTTCAAATTCGCCGCCGCGTAACCGCCGTTCGCCACCGCTGTCTTTGTCAATTCATCAATCAAATTTCCAGCTGATGCGTTTAACGTGGCTAATTCCTGTCCAGTAGCAACTCCAATTGAGCTGCTACAGTTCACTGTATCTTCAGCTGAATCAGTAGTTTCGTTGAAAAAATTGTATTGATCGTACCGGAGAAAACATCCGTCGAGATATATTCGACCGGATTTACCAGGAAGACAACGAGGGAGTCGAGTTCGACTAGCTGCGTAGCATAGAAGACAATCCTGATGTGGTAGATCCTGATAACAATTTGCTAATGCATAAATTGAAATATTTGTTGAATTTACATAATGATTTCCCCAATTGTTATCCGTCACGCGTTGTGAAACAACTTCCATTAGTTTAACAAATTCGGGAATGATGATCGCCGGTGTTGTCCTGTTCGTGCCGCATATTAGTCCAGATTCTGAAATTCGAGGATCGGCTTCACAAATTAAAGCAAAATTCAGCAACAAAATAACTATCCAATTTAAAAGTGGAAAATTTGAGCGGGATAAATTCATCTCAATTTTCTAGCACGATATGAGCAAGCTGCTACTGCATACGAACAAAGTTCACTTGAAATGACGAATGGAGAAGCCGAATGAATCCTCGTTCTGCTTCTCTTTCGTCTTGCTCTATGAGATTAGTTCTAAACTTCGTTTTTGATGAATTAACAAGAAAACAGAAATATGGTAGTTAGAAATGGGAAGAGGAGAAGAAGCTTTCGTTAGAGGCTGAGAGAAGAATAAATGATATTTTTTGACTAGTGTTGTTCAAAAATGATTCGGACTTTACAGCCAACCATTGTCTGCTACGTTCTCTTTTTATGTGTCCCCATTTGCTAAAATTTGACCTCTTTCTACGATTACTACTATTAAAAGTCTTTATCTACTTTGTGCCTACTCTACTTATTATAATTTTCATGGTGTAATCTGTCAAAATACTATATGTATTGCTTAATCCTTATCTGCTTACTAATATATCTAATACTACTTGTTACTTTGTTTACTCCCCATGTCCCAATCTTTTTGTCGGTTTCAAAAAATGATACATTCATTTAGTAATAATTTAACTTGAAAATAATTATTTAACATTTAATAAAATGATTTATAGTGATATAAATATCTATGATTTATTTTAGATGACAAGTTTCAAATATTTTTTCTTAAATTTTGTATCAAGACAAACTATCAGAACGAATGATGTATTTATTACTCAAGTCATAGTCAAGTAAATTGTTTCTTGGTTGAATGCCCTTCATAGCCCTTTAGGAAGTTTCTACCTCCCTACTAGTAGGGAGGTAATCACATGCGTTTGCTCCAAGTAAAACAAATAAAATACAGAATTAAGACGAAATGCCGAATGGAAAATTGACCAAAAGGAAATCAAGTATTTGATACATCACTAATGACAACTTACTTGGCTGCCAAGAGCTATAATTGTATTTATTTTCAAAAGATGATGATAATGAAGAAAAACGATTAACACACTTTTAAAAAAGAAATGTTAGAGAAGGAAAAATGTCCAAAAGAATCAAAGTATTGGTAGTTGAGCTTTTGCTTATTCACGTGTGACCTCAATATGTTCTTTAAGAAATAATAATTAATATAAATATTTTATCATAATATTTATATTAATTAATATATAATGTTAGATAATTTTAAAAATAAATTATTAATGTTAAAGTTAAATAAAAATTATTTATATTTTTCTAATATATTGAAATAACAAATAAAAATTAATTTGTAAAATCACAAACAAATAAAAGTGAACGACAAAAAGGAAGGAAGTACCTCACATGGCTATCAAAAGCTATGATTGTAGTTGTAAAAACATATCAAAGTCAAATACTCAAGAAGATGATGTTTGTCTAAATACACATGGTAATATTATATTATAGAAAAACAAATAAAAAATAACTCCTAGATTGCACCTAGGGTCCATAGATTCCACACCTCTGTCGGATCATCAGACACAAAATTAATGCTAAGAATTTCCTATATTACATATGTTAAAAACTTATAACGCTTTATATTTATATCAAATTAATAAATATATAACGCGTTCAAAGATTTAAATTTATGTACTAATTAACTAAAACTAAACTTTGATGTAATAATTTTGTCTATTAAACTAAATTTTTGAAAGAATGTTTTAATATCAAACTAAATTATCAAAAATATTTTAATGTATTTTTTCAATTGTCACTTAGGAGTATAATTATCAAATTGGAATTTTAAATTGCATGTACATTGAAATGTTGTAACATAAAATGAATATTACAATTTTTCAAATAATCCATCTGTGAACACGAGTCAACTGTGGACGCAAAGAGACAAGTATAGTAGTTAAAACGACCCACGAATTTTATTTTTATTTAAAAAAAAAAAAGACTAGAAAGGGATAAAAAGAGAAGGAAAAAAGAAATAAACATAGACAAAATCAATATTATAAAAATATAAATAGTACTCTATAATAACGTTGCTTTTGCGTGTAAAGCTGCTTTTATGAGGCAATTTTTGTGTTATTTAAGTGGAGTAGTAGATACATCGTTATCGTTAATTTTTTTTCAAAATTACTTCTAAAAATATGGAATTTCCTTGCGGGGCGAGCTACAATTTCACCAACGAATTTATTAAAATTCAATGATTATTTTGGCTAAAATCTCATATTTATATTTTAAAACTTATTAGATATACATATATGAATAATTTATTAAAAAATCGATAGAATAACATTTTTTGAATCAAAATTCTAATTTCGCCTTCATTTCCTCGACTTTTGCCTCTCCTTCCGGAAGGTAAAAAGTAGAAGGACGCAATGGAATAATGGTTCTAGGAATAGCAATATATTATTAGGAAGATGAAAAGAAAGCTATTGTTTTTATTTTTTTTGTAAATACGTTTAAGTATTAATTAGTGTATTATTATATCCCCACCATCATCTCAATTGCAGAAGTTATTGACTAACAATACATTTTTACTGGATAATTATGGAGTAGTTGTAATTTTGACCCCCTTAGTTATTTATAATAAAATTATGATTTTGAGTATTGTAATATTTTACTTAGCATTTTAGACTTTGAATTAATTCAACTATCTGTGTCTTGGTCCCTTTATTTAGAAACGTGTTATAATATTTTTAAAAAAAAAATTATACAAGGCTCTAAATTGTTTTAGTACTTCACAATTTGTTAAATTTATAAAAAATTACTAGAAAATGGATCAAACTTGCACGTTTCAATTAATTAAAAATTAATTATACTTAAACGAACGTTGTATAATTAATCAATATTTTAGGAACTAAAAAAGCAAACATCCGTTTTTCATTTCTATTTTTGCTGTCAAAGTAAAATTTGTGGAGTCCTCACTCCTTACCGTATTCATCTGGCAAATGTATGAATTTTCCAAAGAAGCTTCTGTCTAATTTGTTTTGTTCCGTAAATATGACAATATCAAATTTGAACCATTCCGTCATCTAGTTTACGAATGATTATGGATCTGAATCATTCAGACATCTAGTTTACAATATATATAGATAATACACACTTTAAATTTAATATTATATATATATATATATATATATATATATTGTGTATTTGTGTATACTTTAGCCATGTTAGTAAATTAATTGGCTGAAGGGTATAGTACTTAACTATTCCAAGTCAAAATGTAGAAAAAAATAATTTATTCATAACTAATTGCTAGGTATATTTTATTTCTTGTTCAAATACTTCTAAAAAAAATTCAAACAGTACTTTAGTGGTAACAAGGCAATGTTTTTTTTTTTTTTTTTTTTTTAATTTATGTTTATATACATAGTTAATAAGGAAGTCTAGAAGACTTCATTGAATAATAATATTACCAAAGAGTTGTCAATTCTGAGATTTTAACTCATTGCTAGGTTGATTAAAAAGTCGTCTCCAATTGGACTTTTTGCTCATAAGTAAATGGTATTGAATGATTATCTGTCACATGTGACATCAACAATATGATATAAATGGGGATAGGAGGGATGAAAGTCATTTAACGCCATCTCTTGTTATAGCCTAAAAAATTGAAAGTATTTAAGTAGAGAGTACTGATTTTCGTTTTTATTGAATGTAACAAGAATTTGAATTAATCGATTCAGTAAAAAAATGTATAAAGAAAAAACAGAATGTACAAATAAAGATGGGATCGACATGTTTAATTTATTTTGGAATCAAAGTCAAAAAAAGAACATTTTCAGTCATTTTCAGATAAATGGCACATGCAATGAGTCTTTGAAATGACGAGTAAAAGTCAATCCCCTAATATTGAACACAAAATCTTACTTTCCTTTTTTTTTTTGACATGTCTAGTAAAGTTTGCAAGTTGGGATAATAGTGGGGATGCTTGAAAAAATGTACAAACTAAGTGCTAATTGCTACCGAGGAAAATGTTTTTCATAGAAAATAATATATGTTCTGATAACATTTTTATGTCAGCTAGCAAAAATATTGTGAGGTTGAATGGGGTGGAGAGTGGGGTTCAAGCCAAATGGGATGATGGTCAAGGAAGGAGGCAATTTGAAATGTCATTTATAGGAACTTGTTATTGGTAGATAAGTCATTTTTCTTATTTTTACGAAAAAAAATTTCCTTCAAAAAATATTTTTTATCGACCAAATATGAAAAAAATGAAAAATCGAAAATATTTCACGCTATCAAACACACCCTAATAATGTGTTGGCTGAGTTTTCTTTCTTGTTTTTGGTGGGTTGGTGAAGATTTTGATTTATGAAACCACAACTATTGGAAATGACTTCAAAATTCAAAAACAACGGCTGTTAGATTGAAGGTAGTACTCCTATTTTTCGTCCTCTTTTCTTTTGTTTCTTTCTTCTTTCCTTTTTAACTAACTAAATTTAGATACACCCCCGATCACTCTGGTATGACATGTAACTCTTAATAAAAAGCCGAGAGAAGTGTTGAAAATACCCCTAAACTTAGCGAAAATTTAGGGGTATGTTGTAAGATCAGGGGTGTATTTAAGTTCAGTTAATCAAGTAAATGAGTATTTTTAAAGCTGTCAATAGTTTGGGGATGAAATTAATAATTCACACCTAATTTAGGAGTGTTTTCAATACTTCTCTCTAATAAAAATATTGTTCAAATTAATTAGCTAGCATTTTTGTTTCTGCCGAAATTTGAACCTAGATCAATATATACGTTATAATTCTTATCTCACTTTTTTTTTTCGTTCTTTTCTAGAAGAAGTTTCTACATCTAATAAACGACTTTTCCTATATATAGAAATGATGTTTTGGTCCTCAAAGACCCCTCAAATGGTTCTAAAGAAATGGTATTGTTTTATGAATTATGATTACAAGGAAGAATAAGAAGAAGACTCATTGAAATTTGAAAGGGAGAATATTGAAGAATTTAATTAAAAGAAAGAAACGAAAAGCACAATGGAAGACTATTTTGAGTCTTGGAGTACACTACAAAAATCAAAATAGATAAGGAATATTAGTGGAGCATGAAAAAAGAATAGTAAAATGATATTCTGGAACGATAATGAAATGGTTAAAATTTGAGATTTCAGATTTGAGCCCTTGAGAATAAAAAATGATTATATAATACACGAATTTAAATTTAATCAAATTTCTATACAAATATCGTACATTGGATTGAAAAAAAGCATATTATTAGGATATTTTCATACTAATGTTTTTGGCGGTAACTAAAAATCCTCATGGTAATCAATAAAAAGTACTCTAACTACTTTTATTTAAGGGATAATAGTATTTTTGATTCCTCAATTAATGATAAATTTTGATTTTGGTTCTTGTGATTTATGAGTAAGCACATCTAACCTAAAATATGTGTTTTTGGTGTCTTTAGGTAGAAATACATTGAACTATTTTTAGAAGTGAATACTTCCTTCAAATATGAAATCAAGCTTAACATAATATATCAGTGGAATGGTTGATAATTTTGAAATTTTGTGAATATTCACAAGCAAATGGGATCAAAAATGCATATTTCATGTATTGAAGATTAAATGTAATTAGTCAGATATCATAATGATAAAATCAAAATTTATCAATAATTGAGTGATAAAAAATGCTAGCAATCCTTTATTCAATGATCTCTAGAATATTTAGAGTTCCACTTTTATTTAAACTAAAACTAACGTATTAAAGTTTTTCAAAAATTTAAATTTATCTCTACTTAATTTTGAACTCATTTTAATTGATATTATAAAATTGATTAACATGATATATTTAAGGGTGAAACAAGAAACAAAAATAATAATGACAATAGATGCTTAGATATCAAGACAGGTGGCATAATCGATTTAAGTAAGGGAAAATTATGTGGTTAAGCAAACTTATACTACTTAATTACTCATCATAGCTATAGTTTGCTATAATTACCACTCACGACTAATATTATACATTAATTACACGGGCTGACTTCGAATTTGTATAATTAGCCACGTTTATATATGTATAATTCGCCAGAATATACAAATACATATGTATAATATACAATTATCTAACCTATATACTTATATAAATTCACCTCTCTCCCACTCTGCCCTCTCTCGCTCGCCTCTCTCCTCCCTCTCCCGATCTCGCTCGCCTCTCTCCTCCCTCTCCCAATCTCGCTTGCCATATATACAAAAGCATATGTATAATATACAATTATCTAACTTATATACATATACAATTCACCTCTCTGCCCTCTCTCACTCGCCTCTCTCCTCCCTCTCCCAATCTCGCTTGCCATATATACAAATACATATGTATAATATACAATTATCTAACTTATATACATATACAATTCACATTTCTCCCACTCTTTGCCCCTCCTCTCTCCCAGTCTCGCTCGCCTCTCTCCTCCCTATAACATATAGCTACGAATTGTAATTATCAAACTATAGCTATGGAGAGTAATTGGGCTATTTTTGAGTGGCTATATCTGAAAGTTCCCCTTTAAGTAAATCCAATATTAATAGTGTATCATTTTTCTAAAAATAATTATAGCCACGTGGAGAAAAATGATCAGAAAAGGTTAAGCGTAATCATAGTATTAAACTAATCAAACTTCTTTTTCCCCAAAAATTTCAACATAGAACAAAACGTGAACACGTTTCTCGTTTTAAAATCTCCAAATCTAGTGAGATGTGATTAGCAAAAAATTATCAATTTTGATTAATCAATTAATGTCGTGACTATAAACGCTGATAGACGCAGCTTACCTTCCATAACTATTTTAATTCAATTTCCAACTATCCATAATTTAAAAAACTTCAAAAGAACCTTTATACACATCATCTTTACATAATTATTACTAGTTCCGTTCCGTCTCATATTAATTATCACATTTTCCTTTCACACGATTTTTAGAAAGTTATAAATAAGAAGTATATTTTACAAATTTACCCTTAACTCTATCTGTGCACTCAATATTGTTTACTTTCAAAAACAATATAATTTGAAAGGAAAAATATATATATTTTTAATTAATTCTATCTTGTTTTTTAAATTTAACACATATTTGGGAAACAAACGTTTTCAGTAATGTTGACAACTAAACGTGGACCAATACTAGTTTGGTTTTAAAAAAAAAGACAATAATCCTATCTAAGAAGTGAAAAATGGAAAGGAAAAAAGAAGAAGTATTTTGTGTGGTTTATTTTAAATGATATATATTTAACTTTAAATGGATATATTGCTTAGTTTCTGAGTATGTAATTTTATTACATGGGTAGTTTCTGTATTATTTTTTTCTTTTTGAGTTTCTTAGGTCTACTGTCTTCAGAACCGTCCCGTAGGACAATGTAAAGTATCTCTCATTTACATCAAACGTACAAGGTCCATATAATTTGTGTGGGTATATTTAGTAGATAATAAAGACCGTAGATGAAAAATGACCGCAATTCAACTCTTTGGATTTCCAAGTGGTGACAAATATAGAAGCTAAAAGTAGCTAGCGTATAGTAGTATAGTAGTCCACTTTTCATATCAGACAAGTCGAATATCACCTCTCATTTGCATTTCTCTCTTTCAAGCATTAAGGTGTAAAAGTGAGTTTTTGGTATTCATACAAAAGTGTAGTAATCAGGAGAAGAAATAACACATATATTAATGAGACCTAGCTATCACAACAGAAAAACATCCCCAAACCCCCTGTTGTTTGCGTAGAAAAAATTAATATGGAAAGAGCCATGAAATAATGATTTATATTGACGTTCAACTCGCACCAAAACTGAAGCTATTTGTGACAGAGAGTCACAGGACTAAAACCGACCAGAGGTGAAGGCCTGGGAACAACCCTGTTCCGGGAGGCTACCTGATTTTAGGAGGCCTTCTGTTTTCTTTATTCTCACGATCCAACTCATAGCAATTATCTGCATGTGCTCTGAGAAATGCAGGTTCTTGAAACAAATTTCAAGCATCGGTGTCTTGTGATTCCCTGTCAATTTTCTTAGTTGACATTTTTTACAGCCTGCAGTTTTATGCTTTACTTTGGTATAATAGCGCGCCTTAAATTACTCTTCTTTCACCAAAGACAATACTGGAATCCCTTTGGTTGAAAAACTTGAGCACTTCACCCGCAGCTCATCACCTACCTCAAAGTCCCTCTTCATACCAGGCTACACCAAAAAAGTAAAATTTCATTTGACTTGGAATTAGGGTCTCCAGGTGAGAAACGAAATTCTATTATGAATATCTAAAAGGGCTACGATGCATAATATAACCTACTGGGACCATCATAATATTTGCAGGCTTTTGTGAATACTATATGGCTAAACAAGGAAAAGATGGAAAGCAAGCAATGTTCACCGATAGAAACATAAAAATAAAGCAAGGGTAATTGATAACAATAACTTGCGGAGCTAAAGCAAGCAATGTTCACTGATAGAAACATAAAAATAAAGCAAGGGTAATTGATAACAATAACTTGCGGAGCTAAGCGAGGACAAGATAAGAAATGATACCAAACGTTTTGACCACGCCTTGCAAATAAGGGTTTCACATAAAGCAGACTTATTAATGTAGAAAGTTGAAATAACAGAGAAACTTTGAGAAAGTGAAGTCAAACATACCTCAAAACGATACATTCCCCGAATTCCACCACCCAAATCAAGCACCAAACCAAGGGCACGAATTTGATGCACTTTTGCTGTTACTCTCATGCCAAGCTTTAGTTTGTTTGCACTCATAGGGGTCTCAGGCGTAGCATCATCCTTATCTGACCCAATTTGAGAATGCAGGCCTACTGGAGTATGTTTCTGCTCACTTTCATCATCACTTATTAGGTCAAGAATGGCATCCTTGCTTCTTTTTGACTTCTTCGCACTTCTAGAAGAAAAACCGGATTCTGAAAGTGAGGACAGTATCCTTGTCTTCTTCTCAGATTTAGAAGCACTTTGAGATCCATTATCACCTTTCAAATTCAGAGCATCGCTTTTTTCCTCCTCATCACACTCTGCCGCACTTCGGATTAGAACTGCTGGTGTAGCTGACTTCAAAGTTGAATCATTAGTTTCAGGTCCCACAGTAGCACCTTGGTTTTCTAGCTCATTGGATACATCCTCAATGGCAGCCCAAACATTAACCTCTTGACTAGTAGGAGCAACAGGTTCATCAACAGAAATGTCTGTCTTAGATTTAGGTCTAGGCAGGGTGGCTTTTAATGATAAATTATTATTACCACGAACGTCCTGTCCTATACACATTAAAGAAAGTTGCTGTCCCACAGATACCACATCTGAAACTCTGGAAACCTAATAGAAAAAAAAAAGACGCAAATTAATCACAAAACAATAACATGGAAGGAATAGCCAGTCTAGCCTAAACCTCCATGCCTCAAACTTTGTTTCTCAAGTACAGAAAGGACAAAATTAACTATTTGACTTATGTGTTTAACATAGCTTCAGAAACTATAAATCGATGCATGATTTACACAATTTTTACATATAGACATTAGCCTTTGCTGAAAGAAAAATGTTGAGAGGAACATGGCAGACTGCAAGCAATATTCTAGTTAAATTTCAAAGTTTCAAAGAAAAATTATACACTTCCCTTGAAAGCAATGATATACTATCACAGAAGGTCATGATTATTTTCTGCAAATAGTCTCAAGCTCTATTTGCATGGTAGGGGTGAGCAATTGCAAATTAGTAAGGTAATATCGATTCCTGTAGAGTGGGTACTAATTACTATGAGTGAGCGAGTTCAAAAAAGCATTAAGTTTTAAACTGCTAAGATCCTTGGCAGTATAAAGTTTTGATAGCGAGGGAGAGAGGGAGGAAGAAGAGAACCTACCGGGTCGTGTGACAATTCTGAAATATGTAAGAGGCCCTGTTGTCCACCATTAAACTCCACAAAGGCGCCATATTCTTTAACAGATACAACAATACCTTTATATACGCCTCCAATCTCAATTTCACGTCCAATTATAAAATCAACCTGTCAGCAATAAATTGCAAAGGATGGAATTGGTTGGCTCAGAAGCTTTTCAAGAACAGTGAAGCCAAAGTGAAGTGAAAAACAAGGTATAGAAACATCTATAGCACTTGAGGAACTTTCACGACAAACCTTTTTTTTTTTAATACCTAATTCACCATTCTGTCTTAGCTGTTCTCCTTACTTCAGTTACATGATTGTGCTCAATCTCTAGGAAAATGTTACATGCTAAAACAAGAGGCAGTTTTTCTCTAAATGGAATACAGAGACAAAAGCAGTTCTTATCTAACCTACAGCAAGTAAACAGGAGGGAAACACAAAATTACCTTCTCCTGTACTTTCTCCATCACCGACTGATTTTTGGCAATTATAGTAAGTGTTCCATCACTAACCGAGATCCGTGCACCTACATTATGAATCAGCAAGGAGAAATGAACGCAATCTTAGGAGTAACAAAGGAATCAGCTGGAGAAATTAAAAATGAAAACTACTGCCTGGAAAGAACACCATCACTAAGTGATTACATATGAAAATGAAGTGCTGTAAGACATGCATTATCTGTCTCTATGTGTGTGTATCCATTTGTTAGAGAGGTTAGAGTCCTTCCCTCATGAGTCAGCTTCTGAGGCTGAGTTGGGCACAAGTGTCATATCTTTACAAAAACTTAACAAGGCAAAGCGATAATGTGGATAAGCAATATGAAGCAAAGAAAAAACTGGTTTACAATCAGCATATTAGGAGCCAAAAACAAGTATTCCTGCAACAAGTTTGATGGGAAGAAAATTCTACTTACAAAGTCAAGAACAGTTGACATTAGAGCTACATCAATGACCATACACAAGAGAGGCACAAGGAAGAATATTATTAACCATGCCCTCATGTCAAAGATCACCCAAAGTAACCAGGTAAAAGTAACAGATAAGTCAAATGCAAACTGTTGACTGCACCTGTTTCATCTTCAATTTTCCTCTTCAAAGCACCAACAGGACCAATCAAGCGACGAAGTGCATCATTGCTGTATTTTGACGTAACTGTATTTGAAGCAGTCATCAAAAGAGACATGTTAAATGAAGCAGAACTAAGGAGTTTAGAGAAACATAAGATCAATGATTGAAGCTAATTACCTAGCCGAGGAGAATATATGTTATCCTGAATACGTGGAGCATTTATCTCACGCTCCATGTGCTCAAGGATTTGAAGCCTCCCTTTAAGTGCAGGATCTAGACTCTCACATACGATATCCAAAGGAATTCCAGCAGGTTTAATATCTAATTGTATTGCAGTTACACCATTACGGGTACCAGCAATCTTAAAATCCATGTCACCCAGATGATCCTCCAGACCCTAGAGAGTTACTTAATCAAGTAAGTAAAACTCACACCAAATTTAGAGAAAGATAGAGACCAGCCTCAGACAAAAGAAAATTAGGATATAACTTAAACCAATCAGCCAGAGGAAGAGCAGTAATATAGACTACATAAGTAGAGATGGTAAGTAAAGTTTTGAAGTTGATAACTCTTGTTTACATTATTTGCAGTTTTCAACGACATTAAAGTTTTATGAGCATATAGTTCTGGACTTATGGTGTGAAGTAAAATCTATTCATGCAAGTGCAAGTAAGGCAGAAAGACAAGGCTCAGACTGGCGAAGACAAGGTTCAGACTGGGGGCTTCTCAAGTCAAACGGATGCATAAACACACAAGACCAAGCTAGAACATGAACCAAATGGAGACACACAACAGTGGACTCCACAATCTAAGTTTATACCAAAACAAAGAAAAGCAGGTTTTCATATATTTGGTGAAATCCAAGAGGATATATCATATGAAAAGTCTAGAATTTCATATTACAATCATAATCATGCAAGCAAGTGTTGGCTGAATAGTAGATACACCTCTTAAAGCCTAGGCCTTTAGTGACCGGATGATTTCACAACTTTAAAGCACACTTTCAAGGTGACCAAATAAATTGATCTTACTCCAACCGCCGGTATAGAGCAATAGTTTATGAGTTTCCAGTTATTATCTTGAAAAAAAAGATCCAAAATCCTAATATCCATTTTGAATACTGAACAAGGTAAATTTTACCACCAAGCCTACATGATATTTACCGAAACTAATTTGTTTGTTTTTTCATCCCTTTGGGGCATTCATTAAAAGATGCTTCTTTTCCCTCTTTTTTGTCCCCTTCACTGAACTTCACAGAGCTAAGACAAACATTCAAAAAGATCGAAACAACAGTCCTCACCAGAATATCAGTCAATAAACGATAATCCTTGATTTCACCAGTTGATGGGTCAACTTCACTAACAAGCCCCATCGACAGACCTGCTACATGTTCTCTTACTGGAATGCCAGAATCCATCAAAGCCATGCTACCTGCAGCAACCAAATAAACAGGAAGATGATGTTTGCATTTTGAAAGGAGAATTATAACTTACAAGCACAGACTTAGATCAGAGAAATCTTCTTAGAGATTTTTGCACTCACAATTTCATCATCAATATTGCATAATGAAAGTGTGAAAAGTCTAACTAATATTTTCCAGATTGAACAACCATGAAATCAAGAAAATTGAGAAATTACCTCCACAGACAGTTGCCATTGATGTCGAGCCATCAGATGCCATGACTTCAGAATTAATTCGGACTGCGTATGGAAAATCATCTTCAGGAGGTAATACAGCAAGCAGAGCCTTTTCAGCAAGAGTGCCTGTAGAAGATTAACCATCCAGTATCAAGAAAATGATCCACAAATTACCCTGGAGATGCTATAATTAGAAAAAGGTAACATGAACATAAATTTCGTAGCAAATGAACAGAAAGACCAAGAAACCCAAAAGATGATCCAAGTGGAGAGAGACTCAAAAACTAGAACCAGTTATACCAGACGATATAAATATTTATTAATCAAACATATAGAACAATGCAGGCAACCCTGCCCCCTACTTTACGATATTGCATGAGAGAGAAATAAGATCTTCTCTCTTTTTCCTTTAGCCAATATTTGGTTTTTACATGAAATAAGGAAACAACAATAAAACAAGAAAAATAAGGTTAATGGGGAAAGGGAAGAGAGTACATTATCAACATTTCTCTTCTCTCGTTGCCTTGTTGGTACAAAATGGCATAAATGTTTCCACATATTGAGGTTGATTACAAGTTACAACTGCAAATTGACATTCTAGTATTAAGGTCCATTTACAGCTTTCACTAACTTCAGGAGCAGACCATATTATTATAAACCTGACAACTAAATAGCTTACCATGACCAACTTCACGCCTATTCAGGCCAGTTCGTTTGCCAACTTCATTTGTACAAAACGGTGGAAAACTATAATGCAGCATGAAACGCTTGCTTGAAGGACCGACCAGTGAATCCAGACGTTGAGCATCCCCAGGGGCTCCAAGGGTAACAGTGCAAAGGACCTGTATAAACATCTCATAAGGGATAATGAATGGCAACAAGATTGCATATTTGCATGTGATGATAACCCTAAATCATAGTACATCCTGTGTTCTTAGTGAAAAATGAATATACTGACCTGAGTATCCCCTCTTGAAAAAATTGCAGATCCATGTAATACAGGTAAATTACCAGCTTCACAGTACAAAGGCCGAACTTCGTCAAGACACCTTCCGTCCACTCTAAGCCCTTCTGAAATGATCCTTCTGCGAACAACCTGATGTTGTCAGAAACTTGAGGAGGTTAATATCACTTTGTGATATTAAAAGACTAAAACCTTAGTTTAGGATGTAAAAGGAAGCCCAAACAAATATTCCTTAAAATGCAGTAACTGAAGTATGTAAGTCTTTATTTAGAATATGTCGATGTTTGCTAATGGACTTAAAAAGCCAAAAAACACATGCAACCTACTATTAATCGATTATGAGGGAAATACGCATTATTTTGCCAAAGATCAAATGCATGAGAAAATAACCTAGAATGCCAATCATTGATCATGTGTTCCTCTGCAATCAACAGAAGGAAAAGAAGAAACAACATATTTTCTGTTTATTAATGATGTAAAAAATAAAACCTCAAAATCAGAAGCACGATAAAATTTCAGCATCTACAAGCATACCTGCTTCCTCACTGTATCAACTGTCTTTGGTAGAATTTTTAGGCCTTCCTCATCACCTTCTTCCTCAAGAGCTCTTTTAACGTCCTGTGTGATTTTTTCTAAAGCTTCTCCACGCTCGAACTGAATAAGAATGGAAAACATAGTATTAATGAGATGAAAAGAAGGTCCCTGCTGCCTTTATCAATAGACTATATAACATGAATAGTGAAAAACAGTGAAGTCCCTACATTCATCTTGCAGTAAGAAAATACATACCTTTCCATAAGTAGGGTCTGTAAAAACAGCCTCTATAGGTTCTTTGGCCAGATTCTGAATCTTTTCAAATGTTTTTTCTGATACCATAGACAGCTTATACTCTTTCTTCTGCTTACCAGCTTTAACTGCGAGTCTAATTTGAGGGTCAAGATACTTAACAGCCTGAATATTCAAAAAATCAAAATTACTGGTTTGGAGTAATGGAGCAGCAGTGACAAATTGATAGCCAGCAATGTCTCACCTCTGGATGAGCAAGTCTCAAAGCAGCTTCCAAATCCTTTTCAGAAATTTCACGAGCTTGGACGTCTATCATCAAAGTTTTATCCCTCGTACATGCATATACCAAGTTAAGATCACTGATGCTAAGCTGCATGACATCCAATAAGAAGACTTTAATCAAGGGACAGGACTGCAATTACTGGTGAACATAATTGGCATCAGTGACAACAACTAGCATAAGGCACATTGGCAGTTGGAGTTGCCGAGTAGCTTTTTGTTATATTCTCTTACTATGTAGTTCTTCCTAATACTATGGAAGTATGCGAATTCTTGGAAATGTAAGCTAGTTATCCACTATTGACACCCAGCAGTGGCTACATAATCGAGAAACTACAACTTCTGCAGGAGACCCAAAGCTCCATTTCTTAAACTTAATTCAACCATCTTCTGTTAGAATGTAAACAAGTACAGCACCCAAGGATATGGCCTAAGTTCTCAAGATGCCAGGGTAGTAACTGCCACCAGAATGAAAGTCAACTTGCTGAAATTGGAAAGTATTAATGTTACAAATTTATCCTGAGGATGCCAGCTGATATAAGATATTACCTCCTCCATGCTTGGATTTACAACAAATTGACCTGAAATCCTTCCGATACGTATTACTCCAATTGGCCCACCCCAAGGAATATCTGACAACATTAGAGCAGCAGATGATGCATTAGCTGCCAATATATCTGGATCTTGTTTCCCGTCAGACGAAAGCACACTTGCCATTACCTGGGGAGAATGCGAGTCAGCGAAGCTTATAGCCGCCAAACAAACTATTACTATCAAGTTAATTGCAATAACAAGACACCAACTTACCTGCACCTCGTGGTAAAATCCAGGTGGAAAAAGTGGTCTTATGGGTCGATCAATAAGACGACCACATAAAAGTTCACGTTCTTTTGGAGCACCCTCTCTTCTCATGTATGTTGTCGGAATAACACTTTGAGCAAATTGTTTCTCTTGGTAATCAACCTAAGAGAAGCAAACACTATTAGCACTTACGACCACGACTAGATAATGAAAAAAAAGCTAACTTACCACCACGACCAGATATTGAAAAAAAAAACTAACAACAAGGAAAATAGAGACGGTGCAAAAGGCATGAAACAAAAAGGAAAAAACATGGCCTCGTATACACATATATGCCTTCTGTAGCTTCCGAATTCTAGTATGCAATCTCCAACATTACATAAAAGCAACAGAAACTCTTCAAGTCTTTCCGTCTGTACTATAAAGACAGCTGTTTAACTTTTCTCAAATGAAAATGCCAAATTGCTACGTGCTAGATATCTTGCCCCCTATGTTATAGAGATTGAAGTCAATTCTATGAAAGCTAGAAAACAATGCAGATTGAATTTGTGAAAAGAGAAATCCTTCAAAGTCTGTCTTTTTACTTTTTACTTTTACAGGATGTTGCATACTTTCATTGCCTTCAAGTGAGCAATATTAAGAAGAACAAATTTTTATTTTTTTTAAAAAAAAGGAATTCAGAAATGTGCTGAACATACTGTAAGAGGCAAAAAATCACGAATTGCATCGCCTTTAGATGAAGCGACAGTAGAGAGGACTTTCGTCTCTTCCATGGCTAAAATTACAGAGCCATTAGCAAACCTCGCAATCTTTCCAGTTTCTAAAGTAATTTTGCGTGATCCAATCTCAAATTCCTCAGCGAATGTCTCGAGAACCTTCGTTCCAGCAACAGGAGTATCTGTATCGGCCATTGACGGCGATGTGGACGGCGCAAAGCCTAGACGACCACTGCAGATTGTACGAAAACCAAATCTTCGCCATGTGAGAACGTACGGTAAGTTGCAGAGAAGTGGGTTTATTTTGTTTCTTACAGAGGCCATTAGAGAGTTGAAAGGGACAAGTGGAAATTGAACGAAAGGAAACAAGGCTTGTGTAGGGTTTAAGGATTTTCTCTAGTTGCTGTGGGGTTTTAGGAACCGGGGGCGAGGGTCTAGAGCAATCCCAAATTACCAATCCCACATATACTTACTTTTATATTAATGGCTCACATATATGTCTACGCTTATAAAAAAAGCTCACATATATCTTTTATTTAATTGAAGTGAAAAAATTAGTTTTAAAATTTATCTTTCTGACATTTAATTTTTAAAAAAGTCATATATATAATATGATCCTTCTAACAAAGTTTAAGATATATATTATTTTTTTCATACATAAATTATTTTTTTGATTTCTTTGATTATCATTATTTGAGTTTCTTATTCTTTTTCTTTTCTTTCATTCTTTAGTGTTAAGAAAAAAAATTAAAACTAATTTTTTGTGGCTATATTATAATTTAAACCTATATTTTCAGCTATATAAGTAATTTAGTTTTTGTATTTGTAAAAAAGATTGGGACATCTATGATAAATTTTACGAGAAAATTAGTGAAACATAAATAAATTTGACCATCAAAATAATAAATTTTAATTAGTTGTTGAAACAAAAAGTATAAAAAAAAATAAGTGTGAGGAGGAACAAAAATACCCACCCCATATGGATTATTTTTTTAAGTAGGCGTTTGGCCATGCGATACTATATCACGGTATGATATTGTGAGATGAAATCAGCGTTTGGACATGCGATTTTACGCTGATTTCATCTCATGATTCCATATCATGAGAGGTGATACCATATTCTCCAAAAACCATGATATGGAGTTATATGGTGATTCTATATCATGATTTGAGATATTTTAATACAATAATTGATCCATGAGTTTATATTTTGTTAAAACAACCTCACATTTATATCTACTAACCATTTGTTTCATATGTAAATAAAATTTATAATCACATCATTACTTTTTAAAATTTATTATTCTCACCGAAACATTTTGTCAGCTTGTTAGTTTTATCAAACAAAATAACTTGTTGCCAATTGAGCATCAGACCACGCGGGTTCAAATTGAGGAGGCTTTGAGTATTTTTCTAACCATCATTGCACGAAATGATAGTCAACGCTCGGCAGGTAAAACTTTTCAACATTCACTTGAAACAATTAACCGGCATGTTAAAATAGTTGCCGAGGCAATTAGCAAGATGGCACCAACATTTATGCAACCAAAAAATATGACTGCTGTACATTCCAAAATTCGACATAATACTCGATTTGGCCTTGGTTTAAGGTAAAATTTCAATCACATTAATAAATTTATTTTATGGCCTTAATAAATGCACATTTATATTTTATGTGTAAGTTATTAGTATTTAGTTACATATTTCCTATCAACTTTATTTAAAGAGATATTATTTATTTTATGACTTTGCATTGTCTTGGAAACACTATTTTTATTACTCTTACAAACATTATTTTTATGAAGTGCATTCTATAATGCTTCCAATTTATTTTATGTTCACTAAACTAATATTGACGTATTTTTTATTTGGTAGGATTGTGTTGGTGCGATTGACGAAACATATATAGAAAGGGAGGTTCCTAAAGCGGTGCAACAAGCATATCGTAATCGCAAAGGAAGAACATCACAAAATGTCTTATGTGCTTGTGATTTTGATATGCGATTTACCTTTGTTGTTGTTGGTTGGGAAGGTACTGCATGTGATAATAAAGTACTTGAGAATGCATTTGTTGAACCAACATCACAATTTCCATTTCCACCACATGGTAACTTTAAATTACATCTTTAGAATAAATATTATTTATTTACACAAAGTTGTCTCATTTATGTCACATATGTTTTTAGTAATTCTTTATAAAATATTTTTTGGTAGATAAATATTATGTTGTTGATGCTGATTTCCAAAACACAAAAGGATTTTTAGCTCCATACAAAGGACTACGCTATCATTTGCAAGATTACCGAGAAAGTGAAAGAAAGCCTCAAAATGCCAAAGAACTATTTAATTATAGGCATTCATCTCTGCGCAATGTGATTGAACGAACTTTTGGAGTTTGGAAAAATAGATTTAGAATAGAGAAAAGACATAAAGACACAATTAAAGTTGTTCCGTATTTGCATAAAGACACCTTAACTTTCAAAGTGTCCTATCACCCCACATAACTATTTAATATCGTTGCCCATTCCCTCGTCTGGGTTGTTACCACAACATGAGGCGCGTCATTCAGTGATTTCACTGCCATGGACCAGTTTAAAAGTGCCACGTGTTATTTTCTTTCTTTATTATTAATTATTTAATCAATTCATGTCATCTTCCCCAATTTTAAACCCAAAAATAGTTGTTGGTAGCCCTATTTTTTTGATTTCATAGTTTTTTCCATAGCAAGATCAACGTTGGTTCTCTCTGTTTGACGACTTCATCATCTTTCCCAAGAAAATAAGGTAGAAATTCGTTTTATCTTTTAATTTCCAATATAAAACGTTAATTTAAAATTTTTTATGGTTTAATTTCTTTTGAATTTTGTGATTAGGTTTTGATTGAAAATGTCAAATGCAATGTTGAATCATATTTGTAACGACGAGAAATCTTTTCTATTTCTTCAGATTTTAGGGAAAGTTGAGAAATAAGAAAAGAAAAGGAGAAACGACTTTTCTTCAAAGAACAGGGTCGGGTCGGGTTGATTTCTATCACAGGGAGTAAGCAACACACGCCACTACATAGACGAGGAAATGGGTCAAAATGGCCCATTTACAACGATATTAAATAGTTTTGTGGGGTGATAGGACACTTTGAAAGTTAAGGTGTCTGTATGCAAATACGGGACAACTTGATTGTGTCTTTATATCTTTACTCTTTAGAATACTGAAACAAGGCATGAACCATTATGATATTGATACACAAGTGAAAATTGTCATAGCTTGTGCAGTGTTACATAATTATTTGCGAGAATACCAAAGTAGTGATGAAATATTTATGGTCTATGAACATGAAGATATAGTTGCGGAGGATATTGACCAACAAATGACTCAAAGTAACAATGTTGGTTCGTCTTATCGGTCACATGATCGAGAAATGCAAGTTCAATGTGAGGAAATTGTCCGTACTATGTGGGAGGATTATATTAAAGACTAGTACATTACAATTTATGTTCAATTTTTTTAATTAAATTAAAGTTAGGTGAAACAATTACTTAAGTGGAGAACAATAACTTTGTAACAATTTATTATGCGATTTTATAATTTTTTGTTTATTTGATAAGATTGAATAAACAATTGGGGTTATTTTAATAGTTTTACAACTTATGGATTTTTTATGTTTATGAGAAAATATACAACACAAAAATTCAATATCGCATGTCCAAACAAACCTTCAATTTCATCTCATGATTCCATATCATGATACCATATCACATGACCAAACGGACCCTAAAAAAATAAAAATTAAATTTGAATTAATTTTTTTCACTTCTGTTAGAGAAAAAGGGTATACACGAGTTATTTGTCTAACAAAAATATGGATATATATGAGTCACTTTCTTAATGAATGGTGTATCAACTCTAAATGACAAAGTTGAAGGGTATATCAAACTTTTTTTCCAAGAAACAAATATTGCAATGCCAACTACAATTTAAATAAAATTAAAGTCATAATAGATAAAAGTGTATTTTAACGTAATTTCATTTGACATTTATAACCTACCATTTTGAGTGATACACAAATAACCACCTAACGTCTATACAATATTAAAAATAAACAAATAGACATACATTAAAATATAACTATTCAATATATGTACAACTAACCACTTATATCTTACATAGATTATAAGATATACTATTTTTATAAGTTGAATATAAGATATATCATTATTAATTATTTCAAAAAATCAAAACCAACAATTAAATCCAAAATCGAGTTTACATTTTAAGCAAAAATAATCAAATTTGTCTCTACAATAAAAAATTAGTAATTTTATCCATTTTTATATCCTGATTATAATTTTACCATATTATTATCTAGTTATTTGAATTAAGTCATCTAGTTTTGTTTTTTGTTCTTGGTGTAACTCGAATACAGAAAAATTTAAAGTTATAATTAAAAACAAAAAGGTAAACTTGAATATTATTTCTCGATAGTTAACAAGTGAAATTCATAATTTTAAACTAAAGCTCAACTAAATATAAAAACAAATACAAAATAATTTACTAAACATTAGAAATATTCAATTTAGAATAACACACCTTTTTTTTTTCAATCACCCCTCCAATCAAGGAATTTTATTTATTTTTTTGATAAAAAAATAACTAAATAAGTCACTATTAAAATTAATTCATCAAAATAATACATTTAAAATTATTTTTTCTTACAAACTAGTATAAACATATTTTTTGGGCTACATTTTATTAAAAAATCTTTAATGAAAAAAAGATAAGTTCTAATGGAGTAAACAAACATAAACGTACATGTCAATAATGTTTTATAATTCATTATTTTAAGACACGTTTTACAATAAAAATGTTACTCAAAGTTATGTTTTAGTGAAATTACCTTGTTTGAATAAAATGTTAATGCTCTTTCAATAGAGATTCACCCTCATATAATTCGTAATAGAAAATTTTGTATAGTTAACAACTGAAATTACATGGAAGGCAAATATATTTGTGTGATGATGGCAAATTGATCAGATAAAACTTTACGACAAATACAACATGAACAAGAGTATCAAAATTAACAATTGAAGCTACATGAACTATTGACAACTTAATTGTCTACGTGAAAAATAACTTTTGATGCAATTGCAAGATCAAGAACAGTAAGGAAAAATAACTTCTTGTACTTTACTACAATGTCAATTAATTCTTTATCTCTTTTAATATAGACATTTTTTAATAATTATTTTGTTTATTTACTACATCACTTTTAATTCAATAACTTTTTTAAATAGGATGAAGAGGATTATTAACTTCTTTAGCTGGTAGTCTAATATTTAACAATCAAAAAAAAGTTGATAGTCTAATATTTAACAATCACAAAACTGATAGTTTAATA